GGAGCTTGCCTCGGCAGCTAAAGAGGTCGAAGACTCAAACTCACTGGTCAATGGGCAATATGTTGTGTAAACTGTTGTATCCTCCGTAACAGTAGTGAGTCCAGTAGTTTGCGTAACTTTGCTACAACTGTTGTCTTTACACGATGTAACAGTGATGATAGTTGTATGGATCTCGCTTGTGGTGGAATAAACCGGGGTTGAAGATGACTCAGTTGATGTAGAAGTTACAGAGGCAATACTTGTGTAAGTGGAGGAGCTAGACTCAATGGAAGAACTTGATTCAACAATGGAAGAACTTGATTCAACAATGGAAGAACTTGACTCAATATTTGCAGAGCTTGCTTCAGTGGAAGAACTTGATTCAATAGCGGATGTACTTGATTCAATACTTGCAGAGCTTGCTTCAGCTGCTAAGGAAGTTGATGACTCTAATTCGATGGCAGAAGATGAACACCCATATATTGTAGTACCTGTAATCAATGTTGATAAAACAACTGTACGAGAAGCTTCGGAACAGATGTCATTTGAACAAGTACTAAGGGTGACTACTGTTGTTTCAATACTAGTGGCTGTTGAAAGCGGTAGCATCAAAGTTGAACCAACCGGTGGTGGAATCGAAGTCAGACACTCGGGGGACGAAAGTTCGCTTGTCAAAGGGGATTTTGTGGTTCTGTCACTTTCAGACACAAGATTGTACTCATTTGTTGAGTAATTTTGAGTGGTGCTGTCAAATGTGGATTCAACAATCGACTCAGAACTAGGATTTGCAAGGGAGATACTATAACCCTCGCTGGAGGAGTACGTGCTTGAGTCCTCTTTCGTTATGATGACATCTGAACTAGATTCAACGAAGTCACTGGTGGAAGATATTGAATGAGGAAGTTCGGACGAAAACACTGATGGACTTTTTCTGCTCAGGGTAGTTGAAGGGTAACCGGATATGAAGTCGAAAGTGCTACTTGATTCTGATGGAAGATTTTCCTCGAATGTTGTCAAAGGGCAAAACGTAGTGTAAATAGTAGTGTCGTCAGTGACGGTTATAACACCGGTGACTGTTTTGACTTCCGAACATAGTTTGTTTGAGCATGAAGTCACGGTGATTGTGGTAGTTCCAATTTCGGTTGTAGTTGCGAGCGGTACTTCTGAGCTGCTCTCAGAAATTAGTGCCTCGCTTGAAGTGGTAACTGATTCTTCTAATGACAGAGAGACCTCCTTAATCTCTTCTGTTACAGAACTTTCTGTAGAGGAGCTTTCCATTGCAGATTCGGATGGGTCACCATCGACAGTCCTTGAGGTAACCAAAGAACAACGATTATCCGAGCATGAGGTGAGTGTAGTACAAGTAGTCCAAGGTGAAGTCGTAGTTTGATATACTGTAACAAATGTTACATCGTCGTCTACGTCTGAGCTTGAAGAAGATGTAGTTGTGACTGGACCTGTGATAACTTCAACGGCAGAAGTGATAGCTGGTGCACTCGTGGGTTTTATAGATTCATCAAGGACTGAAGTACTGGGTGAATCCACAGTGCTTGAACAATATTCGATGATATTCCAGTCAGTGTAGTAATTAGTAGTGGTACTGAAAACTGTGTATGTGGTTGTACGGTCAACAACGTCTGAAGCTGCGGGAGGTTGACCTGTACCTGTGGTTAAGGTAGCAACTTGAGAGCAAACATCGTTTGAGCATTTGGTTACTGTAGTCCAGCTTGTCCAATATACGGTCGTTGTTCTATAATAAGTGATATAGATAACTTCGTCATCTTCGGTTGGTCTTGGATCGTGGGCAGGGCACCATTTTATTGTAGCCTCTTCAATGATGTTATCTGGAACTGTTATAGTTGTGGTAGTAGCAGTTGCCGATACAAATGAATGAATAAAAGAAACAGCAAGTAATAGGATGTAAATCATTGGTTTTTGAGTTGTTGAAGATTGGGATGTACTCTGCTAGCCCCTTTGTGGAAAAGGATGAAATTCAAACATCCTTGAAAAGTGTACTTCTTTTATATCCCGACTTTGGATGCTAATCATGATCTTATTCTAAACCTTAAGTGGTGTTTCATCATTATGAGAACACAATACCATATTTGCGATGCTTCCGTCGTTTTGGGTTGTAAAAGTTTCTGAAATAATAAAGTTACACAAACCATATTATTATATGGATACTCTTACAAATTTGAATCTTTGACTCACATATCTCTAAAAGTATCAAATCTTCTTTTGTTTGTAAGCACTGTGAAATGCATATTAAAGGAACCACATCAATTACCATTGAATACGATCGCCCTTCAATGGGTTCGTAATGCACATGTAGGCCACGAACCAAGTGTCTCGAGAGAGTACTTACCTTGAACCTAGTTGAGTTTAATACCCCGTGATATAATATTATTACAGTCAACACCGAATTGTGTAAAATGCGAAACAAATAATAAAGTCTAAAAATTTTCGATGCATGTTCTTTACGCAGTCGCTAAACTATTGACCACAAATTCAAATGACGCACCAAAAAATAATGGAATTTTTCAATGATGGGAGATAATTTCAAACGAAGAGCATATTTCCTATGATTTTCAAATACCTGTTGGTGAGTATGGATTGGAGATCTCGTTCCCAGATAATGAAGCTAGCAGACTCAAGGGTTTCAGCAATTTGGAGTTGATAATATGAAACTCCAAATGGTGAAATATTCTGAAACTAAGCTAGTCAGCGGACCCCAGTCTTCCTTTGACTGTGATGTTCTGGCAGTTTGCAGGAGAGCAAACAGTAGATTTCAGCCTGAGGTAAACCCCGAGAGTAGACTACTTTTACAGAACCTGGGAAGGTAAATGGAGTCTGCCCTAGCGTACAGAAATTCATGTTGAAAATTACATCAAAATTATTCTTTTTTCCTTCCATCGCGGAGAAAAAAAAAAAGGGCTAAACCTGAAACAAATATTTTTGTGACACCAAATACTAATGGGTAACAATTTCCATGAGTATGCTTCTCACACTTTTACTAGTTAAAATTTCTGATTTTCCAGTAGTGACGTTTAAAGTGTTTTATTAAATGGGCCCCAAAATTGGAAGAATTAGCCAAGAAAAATATCCTGGGGTAAAATTTCTTTTTAATTTTCTATATATATATATATGGACTACTGCATCTAAAACGTGCTTGTTGAGAAGGACTGTTTCAGGTGTGTAGTGCCTCGGATGAATATGGGTCTAGAATTGTGGACTTGTTTCATCACGATCCACTTTGCTGAACGTGTTTCAGCAGCTTGGACTTGAACTTTTAAATAGAAGTTGGTACTCACTAGGACAGACCTGGAATATAGACAGTCGAAAGATTCCAAAAAGTAACGGGACCAAGTAAATGCTCTAGATTGGTCTTGTAGAAGTATTGTGTTAGCTATCAAATTCCCTCGAGATAATATCTGGGCAAGTGGAGGTAAATTAACGCTTCTATTGCGTAAACTTGCTGGAAAAAGATAAGCTCCGCAGAAATTACACACATCTCAACAAACTCTACAATACTATTGTATACCGAAAATCTCTATTAAGAACTGAAAGTATAAATTATGGGTCTAAAAACAAGGGGTGAAAATGCTACAGAAAAAGGTTCTAATCGAAGCAGCATCAAGAAATAAGCAATGTACCGAATTCAACAGGTATTTCAAACTTCGGAGACGATGTAAGAAATGTTGTCCCGAGGATCTTGTAATAGCTGAAATTCAAAAAAAAAAAAAAAGAAACAAAACAAAACAAAAAGACATCATTTTGCAAAAATAATAATCAACTTGATATGTGATGATGGTAAAGTACACCGAAAAATGAAAAAAAACAACCTTGAAAGTAGGTAAGGTCAAATGGTTACATTTAGAAGATGTAGACCAAAGGAATCAAGGCCAAAGCTAAGTAGGTGGCTCCGTTAGAAGCAGCACCACCTTCGAAAGTTGAAACAGCACCAGAGTGAGATGCAACGGTGGTTGGAGCAACTGATTGAGCAGCAACAGTGGCTGTACCAGCAGCACCAGAGTGTCCTGGAGCACCACTTGATTGAGCAGCAACAGTTTGGTAAATGGTTGAGGTGACAACACTACCACCTGAAGTGTAGGTTGTGGTTGCAACTGGCTTACTAGATGGAGCAGCAGAAGCTGGACCAGAAGTCTTTGCACTTGATCCGTGAATGGTTGAAGTGACAGTTACACCTCCTGAGGTGTAAGTAATGACAGCAGCTGGCTTACTAGTTGCTGGAGGAGCTCCACCGGCGGAGGTTGAAAGTGGACAGTAAGTGACGTATTCGGTAACTGTTCCACCAACAGTAGCGGTTGTCAAGACTGGCACAGCAGTAACAGTGGTTGGCTTTCCTTCGTGGTCAGTGGTGGTGAGAACTTTGGTGGATTCTGGAGTTTCGACTGATGAGAGTGGACAATAGGTGGTGTAGACGGTTTCAACGCCTGAAACAGTTTTTGTACCAGCAGATAAAGTAGCAGCAACGGTAGTCTTGTGGCACAAGTCCTCGTGGCATGAGGTGATGGTGATAACTGAAGTAACTGGAGCAGTAACAGTAGACAAGATTGGCGATGATGAAGTAAAAGTGGTGGTTTGTCCGTTAGCCAAGGTGGAAGTTCCAGTGGTGGTTGAGCAAGAAACAGTTTCGGTGAGAACAGTAGTTGAACGGATGGTTTCAACACCAGATGCACCAGCAGCTCCAGATGAGGTAGTAGCTTCAGTAGCGTTAACGACTTCAAAGGCAGCACCTCCAATAAAAGTACCATCTCTGCTCTTTAAAGAATCTGCCAAAGATTGAGCATCTCTCTTGTCGATTGAGACTGGTTCCAAGTTGGCTCCCTTCATAAGTCTCTTTCTAATAGCACCAGTGGAATTTGATGCTGGTTCTTCTTGAGCTGCAACTTGGTACAATGGGGCACCCACTTGTCCATACAATAATCTAGCTGGGATACTGATAATGTTACCAGCATTGACAATATCAGTAAAGTATCTTGTAGCGTCAACAATTGAGTAGTAGAACAAGACATTGTAGTCGTCATCGGCAGTGTAGGTAAAGACAGGAGCTGGCAATCCGGCTGGAATGGAGAATGGACAGATACCAGTGTCCAAGTCGACAACAGCGACAGTTTGACCATCAACTAAACAAGCGACATCTTGAGAGACGACAGCAGATGACAAGAAAGCCAACGAAGTGGCTACAATGGTTGAGAATCTCATTGCGTGAATGTAGCGAATGTGAGGTAAAATTTGTAGTTGGTTTTGTCCAAAATATTATAAAGCAGATAAAGGTGAGGCTACATTTATATTTATATACGAATGCTATTTGCAACTACTAGAAAAAAGACAAAAAAAAAACAATGGCTTTTCCTCCGTGGTGGTGTTACACAACAACCCAACATGCACGGAGTAGTTCACAAAAACGTGGGCCTGAGAAAGCTTATGCTACTCTTGTTGTGGTTGTGGTTGTTGTTTTGCCAACAAATGTTAAATTTAGTGTTTGTTTTGCTGCTCAATTTCGCTCTGTAATGGTTAGGATTTATATAAAAAAGTGTATTGTGTTTGTGTAATGTAACCGTTCATAACCTTTTTTTTTTTTTTTTAGTGTACTCTTCACTCGGTATGCAGTGGATCCGACAAGCCAAAAGTGTCTTGTTGGTAAACAATACAGAGTCAGTGCTCTATTGTTTCTTCACAATAACCGCCAAAGCAGCTGATCTCTTATATTGCTGTCTAAGATATGTATACGCCAAACACGTTTTTCAACAATGCACGTGTTTACGACATTGTAATTGGTCTATTGGGTAAACTAATTGCAATGCATGTAATTTTGGATCAGGAGTTCAGAGTCGGCTTTCAATGCGGCAACGAATGAGCACGACTTAGATTATGCATACCAGTGTTTGACTATCTACGATTTTGAGTGCTCAAAGCTTGGATTCAGGGAGGAAAACCGCATCTGCTTTGTGTGAATGCCTTGCTGAAAGTGTATGTTAACTATAGAAAAGTTTCCCCCTTTTCTCTTGGTTAGATATAGACGTAGGCATGTTTTGGTACTGGTAAATGTCCGGTTTGTTGTCATTTAACCGCATTCGTGGATCTTTTTGACTAATTAGGCCAAAATCGTTGAACGTATGGTCATTGTCCCGAAGGTAAAGTTAAAGCCGGGCCAGTCTCTCCACGTATATTGTTATGAAAAGACATAGTTGACAATTGTTAGAGTTTTTAGTTTGAACTAAAAGACTTTTTGTGTCCCTTTTCGGACAATACAACCAGCACAACACAAACTTTGATGAAGGCTTTGCTTATTTTGGTTGGGTAAGACCTGGTGTGGAGTGTAGCTGTAAATTGCCGGTCTTGGTACTGGTATGTGTCTGTGCCTTGTAGTTACACCCTCTCTAGTGTGTTTGACCAGTGACGATAGTACTGATACCTCTGAGAATACAAATTGATAACAAAGTACGAATGTACGAGAAAAGAGAAAAGAGAAAAAAAAAAAGGAAAAAAGTTTTTAGTTTTGCGATAGACACGTTCAATTTAGGAGTAGCAATTACAAATGAAGACAAAAGTGCAGATTTGGCAAATTTGACTTTTTTGCCACACACAAAGAACCTTTCAATACATCTAAAGTCATCAATTATTGCCGTAAGATGGTCTAAATAAAAGTACACATTCATGCATAGCCACGCTATCATTTAAGTATTCAACTTTCTCCAGTTGAGCTTTTGTTTTCTGTGCTGTCCCCCTTTCAGTGTTTTTACCATACACGTTCTTTTTGGTTGCATTGACCAAACTTTGATTTCACCCACACAATCCAGTTGTGTGACCTCATAACCATTGGCCATTTTGTGTACAATTTTCATGAAATGAAATTCCAGCGCCTCTTCGAGACGAGTGAAGTAAGAACAATAAAATCACTCTAAAGAGTTCGGCTTCGGCCTCGTTCATTCGTTCACCCGCTGTTGTATTTGTCCTCTATTGTTAACGGGGGACACCAATTCTGCACTGTCAACGAATCTGGAACAAATTGTTACCACAACAGGCCAGTGCCAATTGCACTGTTCTCAACACCATTAGCACATGTTTTTGTGTCAGTAATTTCACTTTCTTCAGAAAAAAATACCAGCAATTCACACTCTCACCTTGCAATCTGTGAGTCTGTCAACTAAGCACGCTTTCTCTGCAATGCTAGTAGGTAGTAGTGTTGCTAATCGCAATGTAGATTAAACCGATTGTGTGTGTTTTCGAATCTCAGTTTTGGGCGCTGCATAGAGGAGCCCAATGCATTGATTGTTCTATCAAAAAGTTAGAGTCTCTGCATAGTGTATTTTTAGTTCTGCCCACGTTTTATTTTATTTTATTTTATTTTTTTGAAAGCTGCACTTTGAAAAAATATTGATTTTCTGGGCGGTCTTGTAACAATAGATCACAATAAGCTCTTTGGTGATCTTTTTTTTACTTCGTATGTGTGGCGCGTATGTATCGATGCTCTCAAAACGTTTGCTTGATGCACTACAATTGAAAAGCACATACACACATACACACATACACACACACACAAACACACACACACACACAAACACACACACACACACACACACACACAAACGCAATGCCATTGTGTTGTATTTGTCATCAATTGTTTCTTCCACAATACGTTTATTAGCTCAGTTTTACCCCTATTGATATCGGAGAAGAAAGTGCCGATCTAATTGACTTTGGATTCATGTATGGGATCGATTTCTAGGCGTAAAGTCTGATCGGAGAAGACATTTCGTATCTACTTATCACCGCCCGCCAACCTTTACAAAACCCTTCTTCAGCTCCGCAACTTCCCGTATAGAGTTGTTTATTATATTTGCAGAGATTATTCTTTATTCGCAATACTATTTTCTTTATCCTAATTCTCGTTTTGTGTGCAAGCCTATCTCTCTCTGGAGTGCAACATTAATCTTCTAACAAACGGCGTATCGGTCTTGGTTGTACGTGCGTTTCATGTTACATTTGTCAATTCTAAGTTTACAGAAAGAGTTCATTGCCTTACTCGATTGGAACTATAAGGTCATATTCCATGTATCGCAAAGAAGGCCAACGTAGATAAGGGACTGATCTTAATGTATAGAGATCTACAATGCTCTCTCAACCACCAAGGTAGTCTACGAACTGGCTTCTTACCTGAACAGTGGTTGGTTATCTTGATTCAATCCTCTGATCCGTTATATATTACATTTACCCAAAAAACCTCTCTCCTCCAAAAACTACGGATTAAAGTCGGCCAATTTCTTATCGTTCTTCAACTTGGCATCAATATCAAAATCATCAGAACCTGACCAGTCAACATGAATCTTACGATACTTTGACATATCGGTGTTTTTCAAGACCCTGGCCCGCTCTTTACTCCATTCGTTTTGCACATCTTCAAATGCCTTGTCCCACACTTTATCATACACTTTCTTTATTTTGGCTTCTTCTTGCTGACGCACCTCCTCTAATGCCATCCATTCCATATGCTTCAAATCGTCACTACTTGGCTCGTAAATATGCCATATGACATAGTGAGGTAACCCAACAACTGAATATCCCATTCGTTTACTCAATTTACCAAAAGCTTCTGTTTCTGCATGTTTCTCAAACGAAAATGCCGGGAAATGTGAGCCTGTGCGGAAAACTTTGGCCTTGGTCAAGATGGATACTCCACCAATTCCATCCAAGTCCATCTCCACTTCAGGGTCACCATACGGATCACGCAAATATGCCAAGTGAGGTCTCCAAGTCTGATATTCAACATAACCCTCAACAATACAGGCATCTTCATCTAGAGTCTCTGCCAATTGTAGACCCCCATCACTTTCCTGCCACGAGTTCAAATCGTATGGCTGCTGATTTCCTAACCAGTCAGGCAAGGGACGCCATACATTGGGCACGATCACATCTTTATCATGATGCATTAAATCCTCCAAAATTGTTGGCGGCACCGTCTCAACATCGGCGTCTCTCCAGTATACATAAGAATGATGTGGTTTTAAAGCCACTGACCATAACCAATTTCTAGCACGGGCCATCAACTTTCTTCTTGGACCCTGTGCAGCAAATCCGTGTCTGTCACTGAAACTCTGGCCAATAATCTGTCCAAAATCCTTTTCGAATATTTCAATCTCACCAAAACGCATCTCGGTGTTGAGATCCAGTTGAATTTCATTCAAGTGTCTCATCAACTCGCCCATCGTATCATCTTTGGAGTCACTGACCAAGAATGCCAAATCTATGAGGTTATGTGGGTACGTCAACTTCTTCATATGGTTGAAAAACATTGGCAAGTGTGCAGCAGCGTCTCTTAATGGCACGCAAAACAATACTCGTTCATCATACTGCCATCCATTGGGTGATCCCTCATAATTAGCCAAGTCAAAAAAGGACACATTATCTAGTCCTTTCAACTGAGGAGTGTAATGTGATGGTCTCAACACATTGCTTGTTATGAGTAAACATAATAATATAAACACGACTATGGATAGAAGTATGTTGCGACCTTGATTCGCTAGGCGAAGTATGAAGGAGTTTGACTTCTGTAGTTTCCCTTTCGAATCGTCATAGTAGTCGTATGGTGTCACTTGCATGGACTGGGGTGTAGATGCTCTTGATGGTGGCATGGATGTGTATGTATATTAGCGAATGAATGTTTATGCAGAAATGCTATTTTGTTGAATTGATAACCACACAGCGGTATGTGTTTGAACGCTATTTGGTGACGCAGTTTGCAATGTCTATAATCGTCTTGTACTACTGAGTTACAGACTCAAATCAGTTACTCGTGATGATATATGCTCAAGAGTGTTCTTCTTTGTTGCAAACACTAATAAGGACCTTCCTAAAACTTTGGTGTTTTGTTTGGGAATGATCCAAAGACAATTAATTCGCGAATTTTTTCTTTTTTTCTTTTTTTCTTTTTTTCTTTTTTTCTTTTTTTCTTTTTTTCTTTCTCTTTTCTCTTGTTTTGTCAACGTTTTGATGCGGCACTACCAAGTGCCTTTTCCTTACAATGTAACTGTAACTTTATGCATGGTGTCAAAAATATACAGATTTATATAATATTTTATTCTCTTACATCACAGATACAACAGAGGTACCATCCTGGAATCTAGTCCTAAACACTCTGTTGGCATTGGTAAACATTCCCTCCTTCAACGAGACAACAATAAACTGAGATCCTTTGAATCTGGTTTTGATCAAATGACCAATGTTTTGGGTATGCGAAAGATCCAACGCTGCATCAACTTCGTCTAAGATGTACATTGGTGCTGGATTGAATTGAAGCAAGGCCATAATCAAGGACAAGGCTATAAGGGACCGTTGACCACCGGATAACTCCAACAAACTATTTTTCCAAACTGGGCCAAGTTTCACTTTAACTTCGAGACCTTCTGTGACATCCATCATGTTGACCGGAACCAACTTTGCAAATGACCCAGGAAGTAAGTCAGCAAAGATCTGACCAAAGTCTTCCGACACTTTCTGATAAGTTCCGTTCAATGCTTTCCTTATTTCACCATTCAACTTTTCAATCGTTGACTCGATCTTGGTCTTGTCTTTTTCAATTGTTTTAATCTTTAACTTTAATGAAGCTTCTCTTTTCTCGTTTTCCTCAATCATACTAATCACATTGACATTCACCTTACGTCTCATTGCCTGAAATTTTTCCTCCAACTGAGCCAACTGCTCCTTTGCTTCTTCAAGATTCAAGTTCCTATGTTCTGATACTTCATGATCCACCGCACGCATATCCAATACCCATTCGTGATCACTCATTATTTGATCCAACCTCTTACGTAGATCAGTTGTGGCATTGCGCGATTTCTCCAATTCAAAGTTGATGCTTTTGATCTTCACCTTCAAATTTTCAGCTCTTTTCGTTTTGGCAGCTATTATTTTGGTCAATTCATTGAGTTCGTCGTCGAGCCCCGCCAAACTGGATTTCTCTTCAGCAACTTGCGCCTTTACAAGAGCCAACTCTCTCTCCATTCTCTCTTGGGCGTCCAGATCCTGTTGATCCTTTATCTTGAGCTCGTTTATATTTTGCTGAGTGCCTGAAAGCTGAGCTTGAACTTCTTTCAACTCATTTTGTTGCTGTTCAGTCTCCCATTGTAGAACTTGAAAATTTTCAGTCTCCAATGCCATTTCCTTTTGCTTTTTGTCCAATATTAGTTTCATCTCCTTTATTTCATGTTTCAATTGAGAAATTTTGCTGCCCTTGTCATTATTAAACTCTTGCATATCTTTTTCAATCTGTTTAATCTCTGACTCGAATTGAAAACAATCACTCTCCAACAGCTCAATCTCTCTAGCCAACTTTTCAATCTCGCGTTTCCTCTCCTCATTCGATTTCAAAAATGACGAAGCTTGATTGCTCTCAAGCTTCCTTTGAAGCAATGACAACTCATACTTTTTCATTTCAAGTTCTTTCCTCAACCCACCCGTTTCTTGTAAACCTCTCTCCCAGTTGTCAACGTCTTCCTTTATTTGATACAACTCGTCATCAACAACGTTCAACTTTTTAAGGACCTTGTTGTAATCCTTTAATGCAAGCAATAATGCTGTATTGTTTCGGCGTGAACCTCCAGATATATTACCCTCGGGATCATAGGTATCACCTTCAACTGTTATTGATCTGGTCCTAACTTGAGGATCAAAAGTGACTTTTTTGGCTGCATCTGGATCGGCACAAATGAACGTAGTACCGAATACATACTGCATGGCTTTGTGGATTTCTTGGTCATATTCAATCAAATTTAGCGCCAATTCAACCTTCCCTGGCGCAATCTCTTGAGCTTTTTCAACAACCGCCGCACCCAAGACATTAGGGTTAATTTTATCCAAAGGAATCATGGTCACCCTTTTCCTCAAACGCCCACGTTCTAGCAATTGTGACGCAACCTCACTTGTTTGGACTACCACGTTGTACAACCTTCCACCAGCACACGTCTGCAAGGCGATAGCCTTGTCATATGAAGATTCCGGTAAATCGAACAACTGAGCAACAACACCTTGAACTAAACGGACATCGAAATTTGGGTACGGCTTCTCATAGTAGAAATCAAGGCCTCGTAGACTTTGCTTCATGTAATTCAACTCTCTAAGTAGTTTGTCTTGTTGAGATTTGAGTTCAAATTCCCTTTCGCGTATTTTGTCAATGTTTATAGTATTCGAACCCATGGCTTTACCCAACTCGGCTTCTCTATTTCCAATCTCTCCTTCGATGCCTTTAACATTGGCTATGAACCTGTCAAACTCTTCCTTTGCCTTTGCAAGTTTTGGTTCATCCGCCTTCAATCCTTGCACAAGATGCTCCATCTTTAGCTTGTTTTGCTCAATTTGACTCAAGGAGGAGCTGTGTTTATTTTTGACATCACTGAGCTGAGACGCGTACCCCGTTGAGACTCCACCTTTAGATGATAAACCGGTACTCAACCCAGCCAACAACTCCTGTTTCTTTTCAAACTGCTCCTTCAATAACGTGAGCTCTCTCTTTGAAGCCTCGTGTTTGCTTTCATGACTCTTGAATGACGATTCACTCTCCTTTAAAGCTATCTGCAAATCTTTTTCTCTCTGATTCAACAGATCCAATTTTTCTGCTTCGTTAGTCAACTCCTCCGCAACTAACCCTCTTTTGGTTCTCAATCTCTCAAGCTCATTGGCTAACTTGGATTCTTGATGCTCCAACTCGTTTATTTTCCCATCCTTTTTCATATTAGCTTCTCGCAGTTCCTTAACTTGTTGTAAATCTTGATTCAAATTATTGATCTCATGGGTCAATTTATCCACTTCCAAATGTAATTCTGCAATTTTGTTCTCGTGTTGCGCTGTGAATTCAGAATTGTTTGTAAACAAATGAGTAAGTTTTGAGTATTCAAATGCTGTCACAACACGCCTGTGCTTTTCCAAAGCAGTTTCCGTATTTTTGAACTCGATGTACACACGCTTGTCATTTCTAAACTTTTCAAATTTAGGTTCAATCTCTTCCTCCAACAAGGTCTTTATCTCCTTAAGTTTGGAATCCTTTTTCGCCATAACCTTTTTAGCCTTTCCCTTCTTTTCTTCAAAAGTACGTGTTCCAGCCGCCTCTTCAATCAATGACAAAATCTCGCTTGGCCTCATATTTAGCACCTTTGTGATCTTACCTTGCATGATCAAGAAGTTGGGGTTGTTGATGTTCAACTGCACAGACTGGAAAAGACTTAGCACTGTTTGTTGTTGTGCTTTATGCCCATTTATCAAATACTTTGATGTGCCTCCTAAAATGATCTGCCTTGTTACACTAATAGTAGTGCACGTCTCAAAGCCAATAGGCGATTTTGAAATCTCAGAATTGTCAAACACAATAGTAACACTCGCTTTTGTAACACCTGCTTGACCTCTCTTGTAAATCAAGTCTTGCAAATTAGATGCTCGAACAGTTTGCATGGAAGATATACCAAGAACGAAACAAATGGCGTCGAGAATGTTTGATTTTCCAGACCCGTTCAACCCAGTGATAGCATTGAACAGTGCATCCCAACCTGATATCACGGTACGCGTAGCATATGATTTGAATCCATCGATTATGAGCTCGTCTACTTTCATGGTGTTGACAAAGTTGTAAGAAAAAGGTGGGCAGATCAATCTGTTTACGTTTTGTTCTGTGTGTCGCAAAAATAAATAAATACATAAAAGAAAAATATTGCAAGTCGCTTTGCACGCGTTTTCATCTCATCTGGAAATTTTGGACACAAGTGATGCCGTTGGAGACTAAGATACAGCGCCGATGATTAGGTATAGAAACACAGCAAAGGTGCCTGCTAGAGGTGTATATCAGTGGCGATGCATACACAGTTGCTTACTCTTGAGGCGGCATTATGGAAAATATAGTCTGTCAATTAGGACTAGGAGGAATGCAAGAGATGAGAAGACACCAGTACAAGAGCTGAAGCATAGAAAGAGCCCCTTCTGGAGCAGTTCGCGATGGCAAAATCACAATGCACAGATAAGTGAAAAGGGTGCCCTGAATTTGCAACCTGGTCCTAACTTGTCACTGAAATGGAGTAAACCACCAACCATCAAGAACGAGTTGAATGAGTTATCAAATCAGAAATCTCCCAATGAGTCCACTGGTAAAGATATTGATTTCAGCTCTTTGAAATCGTTTATAAAGCGAGGGCAGGAGCTTGCTCGTGAAAGTGCCAAAGAAAACGTGGATTTGAAACCGAGTCAGACGTCAACAGAATCCAAGACACTCAACATCACGAAGCTTGCTGATATCATCAAGACAAAGAACAAGTATTTCGATATTGAGCAACCCGATTTGGATTTAGATCGACCAAACAAAGAAATCCTTGCCAGCATCAAAACTCGCTCAGAAACCTCCAAAAAGCTCCAATATCAAGATCCGTCAAATGCTTGGAAAAAGAGTACAGATAATGTCAATGAGTTGAAGGGCTTTTTCAAACAACTTCCCAAGAGGGTGAAAATAAACGGCAAAATGATGAACAATCCTGTGCGAGTAGGAGATTTAGTCACTTTTGGAACTGAAAGTCTTCGTTTGTATATTGTGGCCGAAACACCCAGGTCGTTTGACTCGAGAGTTGCCACATTTTTATCAGACAAAGGAGAGATTGTATTTTCCAGCTTTTCAAATATATGCTACAGAATACCACAAGCGATACCTGAAAAGTACATTGAAACTATACAAAACTTTGTCAGTTTGGAGCGGAAATACTTGGACATTCCACCAGTAGGGATACCTGACTCGAACTTTACTAGGTCCGATAAGTCATTGCCATCCAAATTTCAGAAGATGGTTAAACCCAACGGCACCACTGAATCAGAAGGAGAAATTTCTGAATTTGATTCAAATGATTTAATTATATCTCAAGCTTCGTCGCAGCTATTGACTAATTCAAATGTGCAGACATACTTAATACCCAATGCAGCTCGTGAATTGTATCACAGTGCATTGATAGAAGTATCAAACGCCGCGTTCCGAAAAGTCCACGAGACAAACAAAAAATTGGAAGGATTGCATAGGATTTTACAGAATGACGAGACAGGCGAAATTAACGCACCTCGGACTATATCGATCTTTGAAATCTTGTCGAAATTGAATAGCAAGCAGCAGACAGTATCTAACACGGGCGTGTCGTGTTTGAGTATCCCACCACATCAGCTGATAGATCACGACTCAAAGAATTTCCCTGCAATAGACTACTTGTCTGTTCTTTTTGCGTTAAGGAAACAGAGCCGGTTATGGACAGTTCAAAAAGACAAAGCATCGTTTTCACCAACAAAGGTTACAATTTGGTCCTTGGCACAGATTTCACACGAGGACCGTGTCATTAACTTTCTTAGAGGAAAGGGTTTAGAACAAATGGCACAATACTGTGCAGGCAAGGTGCTTGGCCGTGCAGAGAGAGAAGCTCCTGCATTGTTCAATGCAGTAGTGAGTTTATTGCAGGAGTTTGTTAATGGAAAGTTTGAAAATGATCCATTGGTCTCAACAACAATTGTGTCGTTATTAAGGAGAATCGATAAATTACTCGAGTTGAAAGGTGCAGCAATTTCTGATGATTTTTACAAATTTGAATATTCACACGGTAAAGCGTACGATTTGTTGACTAGATTGAATGAAGATGTCATTGTAAATCCTATGAAATGGTCAGCAGAGTCCAGTTTGGCTGGCGAGAATATATCCCCGCGAGCTGATCTTCAAGAGTCTTACTTTGAATATTTTGATAAAGTGCTCGAGCTACCTCGAAAGGACCGTATAGCTCAATGGACATTGTCACAGAACTTGTACGAGAGTGACCCATTACGAGAAAGGCGAATCGATATGAGGGACGTACCCGTATACTGTATTGACGACCCCACTGCTCACGAGATCGACGATGGAATCTCGATACATGAAGAGGACGGCAAGTACGTGGTATCCATCCACATAGCCGAGCCTAGCTCATACATCAAACCCGAATCCGTTGTCAGTGGTATTGCATACGAAAAGTCTTCAACCGTATACCTACCCGAAGCTGTATATCCAATGTTGCCTCAAATGGTTTCCAAACTTGCCGGACTAGGAAAAGATACGGTAGACACAAGAACATTTGTTGTGCAATATAGATTGAACAAAAAGGACATTGATGGATACATGAATGCAAATCTCAATGATAATCTGTACCGTGCTAAAAGCGAGTTCTTGAACAAGATCGAAAAAGACATTTATAAAAACAGTGAGGTCAGGTTTGCAATTGCAAAGAGATTTCGTCAAGGCTTTACCTATGATGCTGTGAACACCTTGCTCCAGGATAAGGTAAAGATTGGAAAGTTTCAACAAACTTCTCTTTCCGGTGATGCTGATTTTGACAATTTAATCAAATTGCAACATATATCAACATTATTATGGAATATCCGAGAGTCAAAGAATGCGTACAATAGTGGCCATAACAAGAAGTTGTCTGTGAGACCAATGCAAAGCTCAGATGCACATGTGGAACATGAATGTAGCAGTTTTAAGTTTCGCCTTCCGAAAAGCGACAATGTCATTGAAATCTCGTCAGACAATACAAACAACGTGTCAACGCAATTAGTCACGGAAAATATGATCATTGCTAATCATTTGACGGCCAAGTTTGCAACTGAACACGGGATAAAAATCTTGTACCGAACATTGGATCCAAAATTCAATGCTGATCTTTTGGAGGAATACAAGGAGCTCATTCAAGATGGAAACACTGACATCGATCAAGAAACGTTGTTGAATCTTTATGCGTTTTTGACAAGAGGAGTCATTTCAGACAAGCCAGATAAGCACTTTATGATGGGGCTCAGCATGTATACAAACATTTCTTCCCCCTTGCGAAGATTCATTGACATGGTCAACCAGTGGAAAATCCAGGATCATATTCTTGGAAGAACAACAATTGCTGATGAATCTATTGCTGGTATCGTTTCCAGATTGAATGCTAGAAATGATATTGTTAGAGACTTACAAAGACAGTCCGTAACTTTCTGGCAGTTGCTTTTCTTGAAGGCTTTTAATGAGCAAAATGGCGGCAATTTGGCTGAGAAATTAGGATTAAAGTTGTCGCTTCGATCCAATCCAAGAAAAGATACGACAGTTGCTGTAAACTTGCAAACCTTCTCAAGTGTCAATGCGCATGTTGAAGTTAGTCAAGAATTGTTGGAGGGCGTAAACGCTGGAGATATAGTAGTTGGGGGGTTACTTGACAACTCAAAGTTGCGTTTAAAAAAGATTGATGTGATAGAGAATCAATTGGTATTTGAATATAGATGAATTTTAAAAATAATAACCTGTATATATAACTTTAAAATCTATAAACTGTGTGGCTTCAATTCTATGCCCATTTTCCGATAAATGCCATTGCAAAAGCACCCAAGCTCAAGTAAAGGTACGCAAACAACAACTTCTTAATGGACTTATCTTTGAAGTCGCCAGAATACATAAAGTCAAATGCCATCAACTCGGCAATACTATTGTAGATCAAGATTCCGGCGCATGTAGCATCGAAAGTACCCGTAGTAATCAATGAGGTTCGTGATCCAGCTGGATATGTTTCACGAACAATCAATCCCACGCCACAAGCAAAAGGGGTCGTTAAGCTATAAGCAAGCGACATGAGCCATGGTACATATCTCTTACCCTTTGGCCATTGAGTAGTTGCAAATCGTGTGCCAAGACCCAAACCTTCGAAAAGCTGGTGAAAGCCTATTGCTATGTACAAGGTGACAAATTCATCTCCTGCAATAGCTAATGACAACCCAACAAAGATTGAATGCAAAACAATACCGCATTCCAACACAACACAGTTTAAGATCTGTTGGTACAAGCTCTCAAGTTTGGAGAGGTTGCGTTCATTGATTTCAATGTCGGATGATTTCTTTGACGCTTTCGACTCTTGATCTTCTTCAATAGGCTCGCATGCTCGACAAATATTAGTGGATGGTTCTCCCGTAACTGATTCAAATCCAATCGGGAGATTACAGTGCTTCTCGCCGTCAATTCGTGCTTTTGCCTTGTTTGACAACTTGTAATGAGCAACAATATCGAAAAAAAAGATGAAAAATACCGCAATCAATGCTATACCCTCGGCAAAGGGATAATCAGTGAATGGTGGGCCCAAGCACGTGTTACTCAATGCCGCAGCTGCCTCTGCCATCAAGTGTATAAATCCAGTGGCTATAATCACACCACTTCCAAAATACCTGATGCCGTTGAATATCCATTCTGGTATTTGGAATTTTCTTGAGTAAGCAGCGACTAGCGGTGCAAAGGATCCGACAACCGAAAGGACAAACAAGACGGGGACGGCTGAGATTCTGGCTGCAAAATGTTTTCCATTGTAGAAATTACCTTCTAGGCAACTATCATATGTAGTTTGTCTCGAAACTAAGTCAATCATGTTTGATGTTTGATAACCATAGGTTGGTTTGTGATGAAGTCCATTAAGGTTAAATGACCCAAGGGCAGGCGAGTTTGAAGGTGCTTTATAGCAAAGCGCACAGCAGTCGTGAAAAAGAAATGAACAAAAAATATCGAAAGACAGTTGAGTCAAACATGACTGATGGAACAGATGTGCTTGATCATAATGGTGCGATTACATTTGAAGTGCCCATGTCGAATGTTTCTAGAATGTTTTCCTTTTTCTTTTTTCTTTTTTTTGTTTTTTCTTTTTTTTTCCAATTTCTGAGTCACACAGAGCAGCATTGTAGCATCTCGTATATCATTCTTCTATGCAAGTAGCTGTAGGCTGCAAATCACGGAATTGCGTTGTGGAAATATTTTACTTCACTTCAATTTCTTTTTTTCTGTGTCTCATTTACGAAGAAAAATTAGATTTGGTAAAAAAAAGAAACTTCAAAACGACTGCAAAAAGAAACTGTGGTACAACTGAGAACGGGTTTTTTTTCTTCTCCTTGTCTCCCCTCTTATATCTTCTATAAAAATTATGCCCACTTTCCAATTAGGGCCATTGCAAATGCACCCAAGCTTAAATACAAAAATGCAATCACAATCTTTTTGATTGGCTTATTCTTAAAATCCCCAGAATACATGAAATCATATGCCATCAACTCGGCAATGCTATTGTAAATTAATATGCCTCCACAAGCAGCATCAAAAACCCCCGTAGTAATCAACGCTGTTCGCGAGCCAGAGGGGTAGCTTTGGCGCACAACCAATCCAATGGCGGCTGCAATCGGTGTGGTCAAACTGTACGCAAGTGCCATGACCCACGGAACGTACCGTTTCCGCGTTGGCCACTGAGTCGTTGCAAACCTTGTGCCAAGACCCAAGCCTTCAAAAAACTGATGGAAACAGATTGCAATGTAAAGGGAAATAAAATCATCTCCTGCTATGGTTACTGACAACCCTACAAATACCGAATGTAAAACAATACCACACTCAAGCACCACGCAGTTCAAAATCTTTTGGTACATGCTCTCAAGCTTGGACAAGTCTTGCGTGTTCTCCGCTTCCCTGATTTCCGTTGATCCATCTGTGTGTTTGATGGACAAGACTGATCCTTGCCCCTCGTCTTGTGGACACCGATTGCATCTACCTCCAAATGCTACAAATTCCATCGAGGAAAGACCAAGCTCGCTTTCCTCTTGAAGTGCCTTAGTTTTTACAGCTAGCCTTTGATGGGCCACAAGGTCAAAAGTGAAGATGAAAAAGACACCAATCAATGCAATACCCTCGGCAAATGGATACTCGGTAAAAGGGGAGCCCAAGCAGTCATTGCTTAAATTCTCAGCTGCTTCCGCCAACAAGTGGATGAAACCAGTGGCTATAATCACACCACTTCCAAAATACTTGATTGCATCGAAAACATATGCCGGTATTCTGAATACGGTTGAATACGCCGCCAACAAGGGCGTAAATGCTCCCAAAGCGGAAACCACAAACAACACTAGAACAGACGAGACTCTGGCAGGCCAATATTTCCCGTTGTATGAATTATCACTAGTGCAAGTATCCGCGGTATCTCGCCTTATGTATATGGTGTCCATGATGATGAGCTCGTGCTACGATGTTGATGGTGATATTGGCGCTATGGTCAATATTTATGCAATGAAACAACACACAACAAAGGACTAGTTGGATACCTTAGCCATCGTTAAATACATTTTTACTCGAGAAATTTTGCCATTACCCCATGTGGAAGCATAATTGTATTTCGTAGTAACATTTTTGCTAGTAGTTAATGCAGGTAGTAATACAATGTAATGTAATTTACATTTATAGTGGTTATATTCTTGGCTTTCTCTTGTCTATTTTTCTTTTCTTTGCGTCATTCGTTAAATTACGGGAAAAATACCTCCTTAGCTGTGTGTGGAACTGGTGCAGTGTCTAGAATCGATATATGCGAGGCACATTGGTTTAGTGGTTTAGTAGGGGATGTATGGATGATCCCGGGATCTGATTGACACTAGTAGTCTCGTTGTAAACCTGGCTAGCTATGTCGGTCGTCGCAATGATGGCACGTACTTTACAAAGCGCAGGCAACTTCCGATAGGTACTAATGAATGCATGCTGCAATCACACACACACACACAAAGACTAGTTTATAGGAACAGTCCTTCCGGGCTCTATGCAAAGGCGTTTACTGGAGCTACGAGCTATCTTTTCGCACACGCTGATAAAGTATCGAAGTCACACATTAGCGCGCGCAAATATTTCTTTTCCAATGTAAACAACTATACACATTTTACCCGACTCTTTAGTACAGTGCCTACCTTTTACCAACATATTCATCATGGACCAAGAAGAGGCTGAGAGGTACGCTTCACACCAGCTCCAAAACTCATTCTTATCCACAATCGACCACCTTCCATGCGACGTCATACGATCACTCTGGTTGATCCAATCTTGCAACATCAAAATCGATAAACTCAAACAAGAGTTGCATAATATACTACGGAGATATCAGACAACTGGAAGCATACCGCATTCGGAAATGGACAGAATATACGACTTGAAACAAAACATTCGACATTTGTACAATGAGACGATCCAAGAGGGCAAGACGCTAAATAACCAAATGATTATTCACAAGTTGCATTTGGAAAATGAGATTACGCAGTTGAAGTCGATTAAGGAGAGGCGCAGCGGAGTAGCTCAAATGACAAGTCGGCCGGAGTCAGAAGCGCAAGATCTACTTCGCAAGCAATTGAAACAGCATTATAAAGAGCATCCGTTGGTGTCACAGGTGGAAGCGGCGGTTGAGCATCGAAAACATTCTCAAAAGGAGCTGCATAAGAGTGGTGGCAAGTCGGCGGCAAAGTCGGGCATAAAGTTGGTGTTGAAGATTCCGAAGCAGGACAAAGTCGTGAAACCAAAGGGCAGGAACGTGGTAAAGAAGAATAGTAGCGCAACACAATCACGATTGAAGACAATTTCAAAACGGGCAGATCCGCTGCTACCAAAGAAGGAAAAGAAACTTATACAACAGCAGGCAGGGCCCATGCCGCAGGTGACTGAGCAAGTCGGCATGGATGAAGACGAGGATGAAGATAACAAACGGTATTGTTTTTGTCATCAACCATCGTTGGGCGATATGATTGCATGTGACAATGAAGCGTCGTGTCCCAATGGTGAATGGTTTCATTACAAATGTGTTGGTTTATTGAATCGGGTTGAAGCGTTGAAATACACCACTGGCAAAATACCATGGTATTGTTCTGAAGGTTGTAGGCAAGTGGGTGAGGCTGAAAAGGCCAAGCTGCTAGAGATGAAGAAACGGAAAAGAAGGCGCAAGTGGTAAAGAGGTAATACAAATGTGGTTTCTATTATGCTTTTTCGTATCTTTGTATCTCTCTATACAGTCAATAGCTCCAACATACCATTGATTTCAGTAGCTTCTTTGCACTTGTCAATTTCCTGCTCAATTTTACGTAAAAGGACACTAAAACTCTCCTCCAACACAACGCTTCTATCAATCATTGACCCATACATTTCCAAAATCACAGCAATGTAATCACTTATAAGGTTGAAAGATCTAACATCTTCAAGGTTTTTGGTAAACCATTGGATCATAGGCAATAACGAGATTTCATCTCGTTCATATAAGGCCACCCTAGTCTTTCCTCTAGTTTTCAATTCATTCAAAATGGTAATTGTGTGTTCCTTGGGTAACCCTGGAGCAAAAGCGCTATCCAATGCTTCGCTCCATTTGAAGCTGTTCAAGTATTTTTCAAATTGTTTTAATTTCTTGGTTTGTGGTGCACTGGTATTATTTACAATTTCATACTCCTCCTCTCCCTTGTAGTCTCTGCCTTTCATCATGCGGGCATAAGCATTGCTCGTCTCTTGCTTGACACCTTGTTTTACTTTTGGTTCTGTTGTCTTTGTACGTATTGAAATCAATCCTGATGTCAAACCAGTAACGAAATGTTTGTAATTAGACGGAGATACGCCACATGTCAAGACTCCACCACTTCCAAACTTCCACCCGAACTTCACGTCCCAGTTGGTTGTATTGTAGTCAAAGACCTTGACATGGCCATCCAACGAACCAATTAGCAACCCTTTCTCCTTTGTATCGTAAAGACATGTGGTTGATTTCGTGAAATTATTCAATTGGTGTATTTGCGAGTTTCTCGTCAAATCCCAAATTTTGGCGTGTGGACCACCAGCACTGACTATGGTGCTTGCATTGATGGCAAGTACGTCCTCCACGGGGTTTTCTTGGTTAAAAGAAGCAACTGCGCCCGACGAATCCCTGGTGTCAAATACTCGTACCATCCCATCATAACAACCCGTGATCACCAAATTCGAATCTCCGGGGACAAAGTTGACACTTCTTATATAATCGCCATGATGCAGATCATCAAAAGCTTGGATTGGACCTTGAGAAGTTTGTGAAATGTCCCACACTCGTAAAATTCGATCATCGGAACCAGTTATCAAATTGGATCCAATAGTCGGGTGGAATTTGGAGACGTGAGTAGGATGCAGTAACGGGTTTAAACTCACCAACAAGTTCCGAGGTTGATAACTATCGTAAATGGATACAAGACCACTAGCATCGGATGCACAAAGTAGTTTCCCATCATAACGGAAATTACAAGAGTAAACCACGTCTTTGAATCGAGAGAAGGTCTTGATTATTTGTCTGGTTTTGGAAGAAAAAATCTGTATTCTAGTGGATGAGACGACAGCAAAGTCATAGGGCGAAGCCGGGTTGAATTCAATGTGGTTTATCGAGTGATTCTCTTTGATTAGCTGTGGGCTGATGTAGCTTCGCCAATATCTTTGTTCGGGTGTGGTTTGTGACACCAATGTTGGGTTCCTCACCTGCGGTATTCCTTGTCTTGCTGATGACATATACGATGAGTGTAGTTAGTTGGTGATTAGGGTGATGTACTACCGACTCATCTAATTTTACGATTTTTATTTTTTTTTTTTTTTTTTTTCAGAGCTAGCGAAGACCTTCACGTGACAAGCTCATGAGAAGATGGTACTGCGCAACTTCCTTGGAACTCAAGATTGTATTGAATAGCATGTGAGGAGACACTCAATAAGATCAGAGTTTTATACACAACTTTGGTATTTCGTTGATACATTCACTAGCCTGTTAAGTTGTAATTAGGTTAATTTTGACTTTGTTTTTAGTATTTTGCAATAGAATTCAGGAAAAAAATATATAGTTAGCGTAACGGTGAAATCTTGAGGCTAGAACAACATCCCAGCCGCCCCAAAATATTTACAAGTTTTTATTCTACAATTTTTAACAATCCCATGCCGAACATGGTAGATTGTGTGCTAATTTGCAGGTGTTTTCTTACACGAGAGACAGCCACGACGAAAGATTAAGTGGCAGAAATTCGCCACAACAAAGCTAATGTGAGACATTTCTCTAGCCCAACAAGAACTTGCCATTGGAACTGATTCCGTCCCCCCCCCCACAGCAACACTGTGTGCATATTGTATGTCTCCAGTTACCCAATGTTTTACTTCGGCCGACACTATCCCTGTGGGTCACAAAGGCATAAGTCCGCGTGTGCATTTGAAACATTATCACCTCTCGATGTGTAGCAACTATGCTAGAGTGAACTGTAACTTTACAGATGTACAGATTACATAGAGCTGTGGGCTAGAGAAAGTAACATAGAAGAGTCCAATCATTGTATGCCTATTTTTCTGAAAGTGACCATTCCTCTGTCAATGCTCACAATGCAAAGTATGTTTTGTAAATTTAAGGTACGAAGTGTAAACAAAAAAAGAAAAAATATGCTGGAGAGAGATCAATCATTTGCATACACATTCAAAAGATATCATGGGTTAAAAGTATGGTGAAAACACACACGAATTTTCAACCTGTAGTTATTCAGATACGTGAAGGATCTCCTTCCTAGTGTGTTTGTATGTTCAAGTGTTCACGTGTGTCAAACATATTACAATCGGAACCAAAAAAAAAAAAAAAAAGAAAACGCAAACTAAAGTGTAAACAAAATGTGTACCTTGAGGCGGGACTATGCATATCTCCTCGAAGTCCATCTATTGTTGTGGGAAGAGCTTTAGACTTGTCTGCACGACTCGGAAAACTTTCACATCACAAAGCTCACTTATTATACCTTGTGCGATCGTATGAGCTCTAAGGTTATGTCAGACAAAAGTAGGCAACAGGTCACAGAAGAAAACCTCTCCTTCGTTTGCTCGTCTATATTGCACTTTACGAATCATCTGAAAGATGGACAAAAGACGGATCGTGAGGGGAAACGAAATCAATCTAATTGAGACCTACGATCCAAAAAGGGGTTTTTAAAGGAAAACAACATACTCTAAGTGACACGCACCAGATTCCGTTCCCTTACAGCACTCTCTTGTGATTTGCGGTCTTAGATCACCAACAACTACAAAAATAAAAAAAATAGAAATTCAAGTCAGACTTAGTAAGCACTGTAGCTTGTGTAGTTAGTGTGTATGCTCCTTTGTGTTGGCGTTGTTTTTTTTTTTTTTTTTTTTGTTTTACTGGCTCGCCCGCCTCAAGTCAAAGAAGACAAAAGACAGAGAATAAAAAAAGTAGAAGTAGGAGAGAGAAAAGAAAAGAGAGGAACAGCAAACTACGAGATAAAACATCTTAAAACAGAACGGGAATTCAATACAAATCAAAGCTCACTCTTACAACATACACTAAAAACTCAACCACACTCCTTTCAATATCTTTTCCAGGTAACCGTGACCATGACCACCAAGCCAGACAAGGACGAGACGCTGCAACAGTTTGGTAAATTGAGTCTAAATAAAGAGACTGATTCCAGCAGTAATAGCCTATCAGTTCCTTCTACTTCGGCCACTTCTACAGCATCAACACCCACACCCTCTACAGCTCAACCGCAAGTATCCTCCCCACCAATGACACCGTCCGTACACACTCCATTGAGCAGTGATATACAGGCTAGATTGTTGGCATTTCAACAAAAGCGATCAAAGCCAGCGTCAGAACCAATGAATGTGTATAAACAGCAGAATGCAACGACAGCCAATGTGGCAACAAGCACAAGCTCTGCACAGCAGCAGAAGCAACTGCAACCTCAGTCACTTGCACCACCAATACCACCACCGCATGCGACTGAGTCCAAGAGTGACTCAAAGGTGGAAACGATCTCACTTAAAGGACAAAAGGTTACTGTCGAAAGTTTACCGAAAGCACCCAGCAATACCAACCTTGACAGTGCTGTTGACCTCTCGAAAGGAGAACTGAATCCAACTAGTGTTAAATCACCGCCATTAACCATACCTAGCGGGAACCCACCAGTTCAAAGTACTTCAACACAAGCCCAAGATCGGTCGAGGGCCAACCCTGCTCAGGGTTCTATTCTGTCTCCAAATTTCAAGCCCCAAATGAATGTCCAAAAGAAACCATCCTTATCCCAAAGACGAGGCATGAAGTTAAACACCAGCGCATTTGCATTTGATAGTCCGCCCGCTGCCGCGCCAGCCTCACCGCCATCTGCCGCGTTGTCCCCAACTTCATTCGATGGTCCACTTAATCTCGACAACGCTGTGCTAACTAAGACTCCAGATAGGGAGCAGCCGCCGGATGCATCAGTGACATCTGCCATTGAGGATTCTAGTGCAGCTACTACAACTACCGCCAATAATCAAACACACGCACAATCTGCCACATCGTCTGCAGCTCCATTTGCCAGTGCAATGAGTTCCAAGTTGGGTACGCCAAACGAGTTGTCGAGACGATTAAGCGAACGGAAAAAGAAGCCAAATTTCAAGCTCAATTTGGATTCTCCGGGAAGCAATATTCCTTCAAGAAGTAGCAGTTTGGGAAAATCGAACTCTTCGGGGCCTTCAAGTGACAGCAGTCCACAACAACAAGATAAAGAGCCACAACTCCAGGGTCTTTTCGCCAATTACTCGAAATATATCGACATCAAGTCGGGGCAGTTGAATTTTGCTGGCAAAGCCTCGTTACATTCAAAGGGGATAGACTTTTCCTCTGGTTCTTCTTTTCACATATCATTGGACGAATTTGAGTATTTGGAGGAATTGGGAAGAGGTAATTATGGATCTGTTTCCAAAGTTTTGCACAAGCCTACTGGAGTATTGATGGCAATGAAGGAGGTGAGATTAGAATTGGATGAAACTAAGTTTACGCAAATATTGATGGAGTTGGATATTTTGCACAAGTGTGACTCACCATACATTGTTGATTTCTACGGTGCTTTCTTTGTCGAAGGTGCAGTTTACATGTGTATTGAATATATGGATGGCGGCTCACTCGACAGGATTTTTGGTAATGATATTGGTGTTGAAGATGAAGGTGAATTGGCGTATATTACTGAGTCGGTAATTCGTGGGTTGAAGGAACTTAAGGACGAACACAATATCATCCATCGTGATGTTAAACCTACAAATATCTTGGTTAACTCGCAGGGGAAAGTGAAGCTTTGTGATTTTGGAGTTTCTGGAAACTTGGTGGCGTCAATGGCAAAGACAAACATTGGATGTCAGTCGTATATGGCACCGGAAAGAATCAAGAGTTTGAAACCTGATGAAGCTACATATTCCGTACAATCAGATGTTTGGTCTTTGGGATTAACCATTTTGGAGTTGGCAGTGGGCCATTACCCCTACCCAGCGGAGACCTACGACAACATCTTTTCACAATTGAGTGCAATTGTGGATGGCGAGCCTCCGAAATTGGACGCAACAAAGTACTCAAAGGAAGCACAGTATTTTGTGAAGTCGTGCTTGAACAAGAACCCCGATCTCCGGCCGTCGTATGCTGCGTTACTACATAATCCATGGTTGGTCAAATATAGAGACATACCCCAGCACTTGGACAAGACAGTGCAGGAAAGGATGCAACAGTTGAAACTCGGTGGAACAGCTGCCGCGTTTGTTCCAGCAACAACAACAACAACAAGGTCGTCGTCAGCCACCACGTCAGCATCTGCATCCAAATCATCTACATCGGGCGCCGCTCCCAAAGCCAAGCCTGGAGCAGGCGTAGCTGCCGCAGCAATCCCACAAAGGGCAAACAATGCTGAATCTGTCAATTCATTATTGAAGAAGAAAGTACGCGCTCCAGCTTTGCATAGAGGTGGACTACCCCAAGTCAATAACAAGAGTTTTTTGCAAAATTTGAACAACCAGAGCAATGGTGGATAGGATGAACTTATAGATTTATATATATACATATATATACAAACAAGAAACGGATAATGAAATTGAAGTTGCAGAAACTCTAATTAAACCTATAAATAAACAATAACCTAAGCACAAATGTCGCTTAATCTAAAGCGTCTTTGACATGTAAGGACCATCCAATTCATAACCCAACTTGCCGTAATAGTTACGCACACCAACTCCCGAAATGACACTAATCTTCAGTGACCCGTGTTCTTCCTTGGCAATTCTTGCTGCTTCCTCCATCAACAACGTTCCAAAACCTTGATGTTGGAATTTACGTGGGTCTCTCGAATGCAAAGGAACAACTGATCCATAAACGTGTAATTCTCGAACTATTGAAGTTTGTTGTCCCGTGAATTCCTTTCTGTAAGTATACTTCTTACTGGCTTTTCTCAACCGTAATAATCCAATAAGTATATCCTGTTTGGGGTCTTCGTAACTTAGAAAAGTTTCCCAGCCGCCGTTGGCATAATAATCACGACGGATTAATTCAACTTGATCGGGCACAACTTTGTGATGCACTTCTTGAATTCCAACTTCACGAGTACGTACGTCACGACACGAAGTTCCGAAATCCTTCATTCTCGCCAAGGCCAATTCACGCAAGTTACCATTTTCAACCCCGGAAGTGACGAGGGGCATGGGTATATCTCTTTGAACACGATAGATACGGGTCCATGGTGGAACAAGCGCCAAGATTCTCGCCACTAGGTCAATCAATGCATTGGCATTGTATGATTTGTAAAGCCCTTGTTTCCACAACTCGTATAAACCAGTGCCTCGAATGACCAAGGTGGGGTACAATTTCAACCCATCGGTTCTGAAATCAGGGTTTTCAAAGTATTCTTTAAACTGTTCCAAGTCTCGTTCCATTCCAACATTGGGCAAGTCGGGCATCATGTGACTGACAACTTTGTAACCGGCATCTTTGGCCACGGCAAATGTCTCACATACAGCTTTAACTGTGTGTCCACGATTCGTATCTCTAGCAACATCTTCATACACGCTCTGTACCCCAATTTCCAAACGTGTACATCCATACTTTAACATATCACTCAAATGTGTTTCAGTACAGTAATCAGGTCTAGTTTCAATGGTTATACCGACACATTTGGTTTGTGATTGTTGGGAAAACTCAATCGCTTCATCGATATCCTTACCATTGAATCCAGTGAGCGCATTGTGCAACTGAGTGATGAAACTCTCACGATAATCAATAGGCAACGACATGAACGTACCTCCCATGATAATATACTCCACTTTATCAATAGAGTGACCCAACAGCCTCAACTGATCCACTCTTCCTCTAGCTTGCTCATACGGATCGTACCTAGCCCTAATGGCTCTCATTGAAGTAGGCTCATAGCCAGTATACGACTGAGTCGAGTATTCAAAATCAGAATCAGGCCCACCGGGACAATAAACACAAATGTTTCCAGTATATGCAATATGCGGACATCTATGTGGTTTACACATGACGGCAACCACAGCAATTCCCGAGGCCGTACGCACGGGCTTGGCTTTTAATTTAGGTATGAGGTATTTCTTATGCTGGTCCGGGATCGAGGATATGATATCGGTCAATCGTGGTTGGCTTTTGAGTTTGTGCTTTTTGGCATAGCGGGTAATTAGACCATTCAAGTTGATGTCTTTGGATGATTTTAGCGAGGCTACTAAATCGAGTGATATGTCGGCACAACATTGAATGAACCTTTCCTTTTCGGGAACTTGTTTGGTTTTGTTTTGTGAAGGCATAGTGTGTGTGTGTGTGTAGTAGTAGTAGTAGGAGGAGAGATTGTGGTTGCTGTTGTGTGGTAGTTTACTTGGTCATCGGAGGAGAGGGAGATTTATCCAATACAAAAAATTTTAATCTTTGTCGCAGAATTATTTCTTTTGGCCGTGTCGTGAAATCAATGTTTAAGACACTACTAATCATATTCTTTTTTTTTTTTTTTTTTTTTTTTTTTTTTCTTTTGCTTTTTCCAAATTTTTCACCTCAAACGTTATATCATACAACAAGCTTTGCAATTAGTCGATAATGCTAGGACTCGGCAGATCTGCGCGTATTGCTACGTTCAGAACGGCCCTTAATGCACAATGCATTGCTTTCACCGCACTTCGATCAGGAGTAGCACATTACTCAACCAAGCAGTCTGATCAAGCACCAGCTCCCACGAAGACGAAGAAGAAGAAGTCCATGAACATAGCCAATGTACCACTCGCGTACATTGGAGTCATGTCAGACTTGTACATCCCACCCCGTCTTCTCAAATACTCGCCGCTCTCGTGGCCGAAATTGATGTTGCGTCGATTACTTACATTTGCATTCAACACCTACAATGTCATCAAGTATAAACGAGAAATTGCCCAACCTTTACAATTCAATGAATGGAAGGATAAGGCTATTGAAAACTATGTGAAAACCAACAAGATCTTTGCTCAAGCTTGTAACAATTTCACATCAACTGCGTCGTCGCTGCGTGATGTGTCCAAATTTATCAATTTGAAATTGAATCAATGTTGTGGTAAACACTTGATTGATGTGCTCAATTTACGAGCAGCTAATTTCCAACCAAATTACAAGATCAGTTGGGATTTGAAATCGATTGACGCTAACCCCAAAATCAGCATGTTTAGCGTTATACCGGACCAAGATGGGATCGGATGCTTTGTTCAATTTATAATGAAGTTGAAAACCACACAACAAGTAACAGTAACGGAACGCGTTGGTGGGAAATTGGTACAGGATGTTGAGAGCCAAAGTACCGATTACCTCGTTTACTCAATGAATCCATTTAATGGACAGATTTTGCTTGTGGGTAAGTTGTTTGAGAGTGATGACAAGCGAGGGTTGAAACCAGAGTTGGATGCTTTTGATGCCCATGCGATGCAAAAGTTTGTGTTGAAAGCAGCGGATATCTATCGTGACGGTCCAAATTGATGGTGAAGAGGATATGGTGAAGAGAGGATGTTTGTAAATAGACTAGTATGTAAAGAAAAATGAATATACAACTACTTGTAGAGGAATGAGATAAAGACCTTTTTTTTTTTTTGAATTTGAATTTGAATTTGAACCCTATACAATCACAATATCTAACAAAAATATATAAAAAAAAAGCAAACTGAATGTGGAAACAATCTTTAAATTCTTTTGGAAATACCTCGTGTCTCTTGATTTCATCATAATACCCCTTTTCAACGTTTAGATTTTTAAAATTTTAGCATCACCCTCTCTCCTTTCATTTCCATCTCTTTGCATCGTCTAATCTACTCCATAAGAAAAACATCGTCATTGGAAGTTACAGCTGGTTTCGCACTTAAATCTTCCTCTTGTTGCAATTCCGTACACTTTACATCCTCAAGCAACGCACGCAAGCTTGGCTTATTGTTCAATGTACCACTTTGTGATCTTGAATCACGCCTCTTCAATTCTTGTGGAGTCAAAATCACATCAGCCAATGAACCAGGTAAAAAATCTTCCTCAAATACAGCATCAGAAATACCTTGTTTTGGCAAAGTGTTGTACTGAAAGCCCAGGCCTAGTTGCTCATCCTCCTCATCGTCAAATACTGGTGATGCTAAGGAGATGTTTTGATACAGGTATTGATACTGCAAAGTGTTTGGTTTCACTGGTAAATTGTAATCATTGATTTGTGATATTGCGGTTGAGTTACCTGAACTGAAGGAGAAGCGGGAAGTTGGAGTCGTTGCCGATGGAGTCGACGATTGAATGTTTATGCCTGATGCAGTTGACAACTGAGGTGGAGAAATTGCTGTTCTAGAGGTGAGCAATTGTCCACCAGTTGAATATGAGCGACGTACACCAAACTGTTGCTGACCAGAAGGTAGTGTGTTGAACGTTGATCCATCAACAATAGTACTTGCAAATGAGTTTGAACCTAAGCTGTGTGGTTGATGTTGTGACCCAGCTCTTCTGGGCTGCGAGCCCCATGGTGGGTATTGATAATCTACTGGTTTTGCATATTGTTCAATGGGTGACCATCTAGAAGACTCTTGATTTGAAGATGTAGGATGTTCTTGTTCTTGTTGTGGATGTGGTTGTGACTGCCTTGCAAACCTGGCAAGACTATCTTCGGTAAGCGAGTTGAACGAAATGGGTGCTTGACTTTGGGAAAACTGCGCTGGTTGAGTGTACTGTTGCTGTTGTTGTTGTTGCTGTTGTTGTTGGCTCTGTATCGGCTGTTGTTGTCTATACGTGTCGCGAGTCACTGGTTGATGGGAATAGCTCGGTTGTGCTTGTGATTGCTGGTTTGCATGGTAGTTACTGAAATAGCCAGTATTTGAAACTGCGGCGGTCCCAACAAAGTGCCCTGCATCTGGTGGAGACACGCTAGTGTAGCGGTATCGTGGAGCAAACTCATCATCTGTTTTGTCAAGTCTAGTATAAGCATACTCAGGTGAGGTTTTGGAATGACTGTTTGCAGCAGAACTTTGATTCACATTGTAGCTTTTACCTTGTCCAGTGTTGTATTTCTGTTGTTTGGTACCATAACTTTGACCAGAGTATCCATTGCCAACTCCGCCTCCATTACTAGCCAAGATATTCTTGGCGTTGACTCTGGTCCCATCAGGTAAATAATGAGCCAATGCACATTTTAAACCAAATTTGCAATTTCCTCTCAAGAAATATTTACACGGCAACCGATCAGCAGCCAAAGCACCTTCAATATTGTGGGAGAATGGACATGAGTCACCAGCTTGACAATTGCCTTGTTTGAAGAACTTGCATGGTACATGGCTCAAGTTTTTGTTAGCGTTTGATGATGAGCCATTTGTCACGGGAACCGTACCTGGTGGACCCGTGTTTGGAGGTAATTCAGCCTCCAATGAACTAAGATCAAATGTTTGGCCAAGCGGTTGATGTGGTTGTTGTTTATCATTGTTACCACCAGGTGTGGCGCCGTGGTGGCTCTGAAACTTGAAGTTGTTATCCTGCAGAAACAGGGATGCCTTTGCTTGAGGCATACTTAATAAATCGTTGTGCTGTGTTTTCGCTTATCCTTGGTACAGAAAGGGAAGTGCTGAAAGTGTGTCTAGTAAAGACTGAAGTTGTAAAAGATGCGTCTTTTTTTTGAAGAAGACTGGTTCTCCTTTTATGACTGTTCTTCCTCTTCTAATCTTTTAGTTGTTCCTATTTGTCTTATCAGTTAAATAATTTGTATAAGAGAAAATACCTAATATTTCAGGACAATAGAAAATATAACAGCAAAAAGAAGAGAAAAAAAGAAAAATAAAAAATAGTTTTGTGTAATACTGAAAAAAACTGTGGTTCATTCTACAAATCTATATCAAAGATGAGTAAGGGTAGAAGTAGGAACATCAGAATATGTAAGTCTTGAAGTATGAAGGAGCACAGAGTACCAAAAGCACTATACTAGTACCGCAGAAGAAATAAGAGTACTCCTATGGAACTTAGAAAGGGATAGCTGAATCGAAGCCAATTGTGGTGGCTTACAAATTTAGAAGGTTGAAGAGGTTAATCATTCGTCAGAGGACAATAACAAACTCTTGAAAGCACTTCAGTGGCGCTAACGCTTGTATGTACCCCTTTGCTATTGTTTTTCTTTGTCTGCAGATTCGATCAATAAAACGTACTACCCACAGTTGTCAAATATGCAAAGCAAGCTGAGTGATGAGTGGGTATTCACGGGCTACGACATACTGGAAACAACTCACAAACTAAGTACCCACTAACATAACTATTTTTAAGATAGGTTCTTCCCCACTTACTGAATACTGAGTACTGATCAATAAAGTGACTATGACAATAAAAAGGAAAAAAGAGGAATCTTTTTTTTTTTTTTGACCGTTTTAACACGCCCATCATAAATTACACAAAATCAGTTAAATCCCTTTCTTGAACGAAATAGTTTAATATTATGTAAGTATTCACGTAATTGCGTGCTTCTAGTTTACGTAATTATTCTTCTCACCTTATCTTACATTTCACCCCACCCATATTACACAAAATGCTCCATTCAAAATTTTGCTTATTGACTTATCTTTCAACTCAGAAATGTAGACCCCGAGATACTACCAACAATGCATCAGGACGCCCTTTTGCGGATGTCTGTGCTTTGGTATCGAATCATTTAGTAGCTTGCATTTCGCTTAAATTATGTATGTTGCGCGAAGATGAATTTGAATTTGGGGCTGCATGTGCCTAGATGCGCGTTGGAAAAGGACAGTCCTACATAACCCCTGAACGACAACTTTCACTACTGATTTCTCTTTCCAATAATAAGAAACTTTAATAGCGGATATTGGTCAGAGAACCTTGGTATTTTCTGCTACATATGCAGTGAAGTGGATTGTTTGTCGATTGGATTATATCCTTTTCAAGTAAGTTGTCCCACAAACGAGGGGAAGCGAACAAAGCACATACTACTTACGCAGTTGTACATTTAAACTCGGAGAAGTTACAACTTGTGGGCCTAAAGTGCTCAAAATTACTCTTTCTCATCACCTTTTATTAGTAAACTACAAAAAAAAATCCCTTCAAGCATCTCTAACGACGATCGCTTGACCCAATACCTCTCTTACCACTAAACAAATGCTTAGGCAAAGCAGCAGTCGAGTGTCTATCACCTTCACCTTGTCTCGCCATTCTATTTCTTTCTCTTCTTTGTATCTTGGCCAATCTTTCAGCTTGCGATCTCATGGCCCCATCACTAACACCATCATTCAATCTATCTGATTGTGAGGCTGCTTGCTTCTTCTTGGCCAATTTTCTAGACTTGATACCTTGGTTTTGTCTTAATATGTCAACTCCAGATGCCTTACCTTCATCATTGGATTTCCTCTTTTTACCAATACTTTCGCGTAATTTATCAGTATCGTGGCCAATGTTGTACATATGTTCTTCCAAATCACCAAATGATTTTTTGATTTGATCTCTTGGCATTACAGCCTTGTTCTTCAATGATTTTCTGTTTCTGCCTTCAATAATCATCGTCTTTTGTTTATTTCTGATCCATTGTGCTTTATCTTTGATATCTTGTATTTCTTCCTCGGTCATATCCATGTTGGCATCATTGGTTTCATCATCAGAGTCATAAAATCCCTCTTGTTCTAATCTCTCCTCCTCTTCCTCCAAGGCCTGTAACTTGGCAGCAATATCTGGATCCAAGTAATCATAAACATTCTTACCATCCAACAATTCAGGCATTGTATCTTGTTTCCACTCTTCGTCATCAAGAATGTACTTGTCTTTCAAATTAATGTTGAAAACACCAGCACCGCCATTTTCAGCTTCATAGTCCCTAGCCAACTTCCTTCTATTTGGATCGGTTTTATCGTAATTGAGGAATTCTTTGGCTCCATCTGGTATATACGGCAATCTCTCAACATCGTCTCTTTGCTGTGGTTGAGCAACATGGATTTTGTTCAAGACATTATTGACTCTGGCAGTTCCCTTCAATTTCTGCTCAATTCTAGCTGTCAATAATTTCTCGCATGCATGGTTACGCACCTGCATAACATTATCTTCTTCATAACAAGACGTGTGCATAATCTCAACTCCAGGAACAGATTTCAAAGTTTCCAACATTTCTTGTTTCTCAACATCTAAATCCTCAACTTTGATAATATCGGACTTGTTCATTACAACCATGACTGATTTATTTGCAAACAAAGGCTTGATCGAATGGAACAACTTAACCTGAGCTTCAATTGAGAACCCACACTGCTCACTCAAATCCATGAAATACAACACACACGATCTCAAATGGGCAATAGCATATATACTTTGCATTTCAATATTGTTCATTTCTTCAGTTGGACGGTCCAAAATACCAGGAGTATCAATTGCCTGAAACCTAAGATACTTGTAATCGAAATGTCCCACGTACAACGATTTTGTAGTGAATGCATAAGGTTGCACTTCAACATCGGCCTTAGTAATACATTTCAAAAACGACGACTTACCAACGTTTGGATATCCACAAATCAACAATGTACGAGTGTTTGGGTCAATACTTGGCAATCTACCCAAATGCTGTCTAACTTGCTCCAAATAAATGAATGGATCCTTCAATTTCTTGGTGATAGTAGCCATACGACCCAAAGCTGCCCTCTTCAACTGCTTACATTGATACAATGACTGACCAAACTTCAAAAGACGCACATAATCTCTGCTCACTTGCTCAATCAAAGTCTTGGCTTTGGAGACAGCAGCCAATGACACCTTGTAATGATTTTTTTCATACAATGTATCCATCAAATCACGATGGAATGGATGAACATCGTTAATGTTGGGGAAACCACTTAACAAGTCGTTGAACTTTTCAACGAACCCTTCAGCGGTGAACTTGACCTTCCTCATGTAAAAAGCACGAATACGGGTGATTTTGAAACCGGGTCTAATGACGGTGGGGGTTTTCCTTTGGGTACGGTTCAATATTATATCCAACATGTCGTTGGATGTAGGTACCGGCGGTATATCTTTCCATGACAACTGCATCTTTGTATTGTATATGAAGTGGTATCTAGTTATACGGGGAAGGAATATACTTGTACTTGAGTTAATCTCTTTTTTTTTTTTTTTTTTTTTTTTTTTTTTTTTTTTTTTTTTTTTATTTTTTTNGGAAGGATTATTTTTTTTTTTTATTTAATTTCTTTTTTTTTTTTTTTTTTTTTCTTTTTCCTCTTGTTTTAAAAATTTGATGAGATGAGGTTTTTTCTAATTGAGATTATTTTTTGTTTTTTTTTTCTTTTCATTTCTTTTGTGTGTACTTCACCCCATTCAAAAGTCCAAAAAAACTTATTCACTTAAATATATAGATATATATATACAAAAAAATCTATGACCGTTACTTTTTACTAATATTCTTTCAGATTGGATCCGGTAACTGGCATTATCTATCTAGAGTCTTTTGACTTGGTGGCTTGCTCAATTTCCTTAACAGCAGGCTCAGCAGTCTCCAAAACTTCATGCTCCACAGTCTCAGTACTGTTTTCTTTGTCATCATCATCAAACAATTCCTCCTTGTAATGTTCTGGGTATTTCTTGAAACAAGTTCTCATGTTTTCAAACTTCTTGATACAATCAATACCTTTAGGTTCGGTTTCCGAGTAAATAAAACAAGAAAATGCCTCCTTAAACTCTTCTCCACATGGTCCGTGTGCCATTCCACCTAAGCAAGGACAGTCCCAGTTGATTTCACCGGTTTCTGGGTTATATGCAGCAGCTTGGTGGTCATCACCATCTCCACCTTCTTGATCGTTGTTTGATTTGTCACTCAGTTTTAAATCACTCGATTTTTCATCCAATTTTTCAGCCTTTTGCTTCTTTTCTGCGGCATCTCCTTCCGATTTAGACGCAAGAGCATCCTTATTCTCTTGCTTCTTCTCCACTTTTTCAGGGTCAGTAGCTGCGTGTCTACTAGTGTCTGAGTCCAACTTTTCAGCAGCTTGCTTACCGGTAGAAGAACCAGATGAGACATTCTTAGAATCAAGAGCACTTGCCTTTTTTGTCAAGTCACTCTTCAATTTCTCGATATCTGCAATCTCATCCTCACCTTTTTGCTCTTGTAACTGTTTTTGCTCAGTTTGGAACTTTTCCTGATGTTCGTCAGCCATGGCAGCTCCATCTTCGAATTTCTCTTCAATGCTCTTGGCCACTCCCAAGACAGTCTCGTTTTGGATTGAGTTGGACCATGATAAATAGCCAATGGCAACTGCCACCGGTACAATTGCACCCGCAGCTAATTTTGAGTTGAGTTGAGTGCGTGTCGCTGAACTTCCAGTGGAGTATGTTCTAGCAAGTCTAGCACTTTGACGGGAAATTGTAGACCTAGTAAATTGTCTAAGCATAGTGCGCAGTGGAGTTTCAGTATAATATCGTCTCTAGCTTGAATTTGCTTTAGTAATCTGATTTGCTGGAAAAAAAAGTAAAAAAAAAAAAGAATAAACGCAGAAGGAAATGAAAAATTGTGCTTAAGCTTGGTAAGAAGAGCAACCGTTTCTCGGTTTAAGTTTGTGATGCAGCCTACGCCAAGAACACCGGACACCAATTGGCTCTTCCAGTCCACAATTCAGAAATGCTGGTAAATATTCAGTTTCATAATGTTCCACTTCTGTTTATCTACTAATTTCACCCTTTTGCTCTCCGCTACTGCTCTTATTCCAAAAAGGTTCAGTCATTTTGTATTTCTCTACTCTGTATGTACTCTACTCATTGTGATGATACACCAAATAATTTGGCAACCCAACAACCTCATAGCCCAATCGCTTTGCCATTTTGGCAAATCCTTCAGTTTCAATCAAATGATAAAAAGGGAAAGATGGAAACATGGCTCCATCTCGATGAACATCAGCCTTCACCATTACAGCACCTCCTCCCACACCATCCAAAGCCATTTCTGTATTGACATCCTGGTTCGGATCATAAAAATGGGCCATTAATGCTCTGTATGTTGCCATTTCCGAATAACCCTCTACGATAATTTCGTCATCGCCCAAACTAGCAGCCAATTTCAAACCTTCTTCACTTTCGACCCAGTTATTATAGTCGTATGGTCTGATTGATTGCTGTTGTTTTTCCTCGTCATAAAACCTTTGGTAAACATTGGCGGATAAAACGGGTTTATTATGTGCAACCAAGTCCTGGATCAAGTTAGGGGGCGTCTCGACGATATCCGCATCCAACCATAATATCCACGACGTAGAGGGTGAAATGGTGGAGAAAACCAACGAGTTTCTCGCCAACGCCATCATTGACCTTCTCTCCTTTTGCACCTTGAATGCGTGTCGTTCCTTTTCCAATTGACTTTCTAACGAGTTTGAATCTTGTCTCAACAAAGTCACTTTTTTAAAGTTCAATGTATTACTAGCTTTGCTTTTCTTCAATGCAGTTTCTAAATCCTTCAATGCACCATCACCTTCCTCTGTTCTGGGGAAAATGAATCCCAACGAAATCAATGAGTGATCATATGTTAACTTGTTTAAGTTCTCCCAGTATCCAGGCAAGAATTTCGTCATTGGGGTCAAGATCAACACTTCTTCCTTCTTGGCTAACGCATCGGCAGATGAAGACAACTTGTTCAAGTCGTAATGGGCTATATGATTTTTGGGCATATTCTTCACCATTACCGAATCTTGACTGTTGGAAGTAAACCACGATTTTGATTTCTTGTCATAGCTGTATTTCGGGGTGGACTTTGACGAAGTGGTGGATGTGGTCGATCCGAATAGGAAAAAGTAGATGACTAGGAGGACTGTTATTGGTGCCAAAAATGCCAAAGGTTTCCTTCGTATATAGTTGACGTACGGGTTTCGATAATGCACCATGATCGTGTGTGTGTGTGTGTGTGTGTGTGTGTCTTGAGTACTTTGGCAAGCAGAAAATTGACTGATTGGTTAGCACTCCCCGCAAGATTGTCACAAAGGATATGATGTAACTCCGACAGTACTGATGAACTTCACTGATTCAAAGTAAAACACGTTCCGATCATTTGGTACAACTTTTTTTTATTTTTTTTTTTTCTCTCTCTATTTTCTCGACTGTCGACACCGTTACTATAGTGCTGTATAGTATAACACTGGACACCGTATTAAGAACAAGTGAGTGGTAACAATCCCAATCCTTCACAAGCAATAAAGACTGGGTGGTGTTGTCTTTTGATATGATGGATACTGGTGATACTCCTGTTGTATAAGTCAACTACCACATCGTACTTGTGATCCACACCAATAATGACCGCTCCCTTTGATCACAATGTCTCTTCCAATGGCTCTAAATAGCAGCTACGCTATTATACTTGATGAAATAAGTTCTTTTTTTTTTGCTACTTATACAATGTAGTCTTTGATACATCATAACTTTACAATAGTTGTACAGACTTTGTTGCAACTGCGGGGTGTGTTTCTTGCATGAATTGTGCCAGCCTCGTTGTGCAAATATTAAGTAACATGAGCTGGCAAAACAATCGGGCTGTGCTTACGGCGGAGATAACAATTTACACGTATTTGCTGTCATTAAACTGAAATTGCGGTGGAAACATACGGCGCTAAAATACGGGTTTCGTGGCGCATTTCACAACAGCAAAACCAGCAAAAGAATAAAAAATAAAAATCACCATATGCAAAAAACCCCCTTGAATTTGAAACAGTATATAAATAATCCCTTTTCTCATTGCCAAAGTTTTAATTTCTTCTCTTGTAACTACACTACACTACACTACACTACACCACACACACAACCATGCCTCAACAAGATAAAATCACTGTTCACTGGTACGTATATTAAAGCAAGTTCACTATGCAAATCATACTCATTACTAACTTCTTTTCCTCCTTCCCCCGCAGGTTGAACTTCTCTCGTGCACAAAGAATCCTTTGGTTATTGGATGAATTGAACTTGGAGTACGACTTGAAGGTGTACCAAAGAAATAAACAATTCAGAGCTCCCAAAGAGTTGGAGAATGTGCATCCGTTGGGCAAGTCTCCGGTAGTTGAGATCACCAAACCCGACGGTGAGGTGATTGAACTTGCCGAATCCGGATGGATAACCCAATACTTGATTGACAATTACGATACTGAAGGAGTACTCACGCCAGCCAATGTGCAAGATAGCAACAAGGTCAATTATTTCTTACATTACTCAGAAGGGTCGTTCCAGCCTATTCTAGTTGGTTTGTTAGTCAACCAGATGGCCACCACAGTCCCACCTTTTCCAGCCAATTGGATTGCTGGCGCAGTTGTTAAAGGCATCAATGCAAAGTACTATGGTCCTGAATTGGAAAAGAACTTGAAGTACTTGAATGACATTGCGTCAGCCCAGCATGCAAAGGGAAGCAAATATTTAGTGGGAAACAAGTTATCCGGTGCTGATATAATTTTGAGTTTCCCAATCATTTCCATCTTTACTTCAGGTAGAGGTTTGCGTCCAACTGTAGTCGATGAATTCCCTGAGTTGTACAAGTATTATCAAAACTTAAGTCAAGAGAAGAAGTTGAAGGATGCTAATGAAAAGATTGCCCAGTATGAAAAGAACAGTCCACTCAAGTTGTGAATTAGGTATTCGAATTTAGTTTATTTCCTTTTAATACGATAGTAGGAAAAAGGTTTTTTGATGTAGCATTCTTTTTCATGAAATTTGATGCAAAATATTCTGGAAATCTAATACAATGACAAACAGATCGTCAAAGATTCAGAGGAGATGTGACAATCTAATGGAGCATTCCATTCACTTGTGTATACTTAGCACCTTACAGAGTGCACTTTAATGAAGCACATATGCATGATGAAAAGACAATTTTCCCAAAAGAGACATATCGAAGTCAGCTTTGAGATTAAACAGTCACCCCGGTTCAACCTATTTGTCGCAAATAGGATTGCGGTAATGTTCCCCACTCTGTTTTCACGTCGTATTTCTGCTGCATCTTTTGGTATCGTTATAAGGAGCGGTTACAAAACTCAAAAAAAAAAAATATGTATATATATACGGAATGTCTTAGTTTCCTAATTGGGTAAACGATTGTAATTAAAGTAGCACAAAAATGTCAAACCATTAAGAAAATAATAACTTTTTTAATTTTTTTAATTTTTTCTTTTTTGAAGTATTTTTCATCCCCACCTAATTCGTCACAAGATTGTAAAGAATTTTTTAACTTTTGGTCTGATTCCGAAAAGGGTATAAGTCTGTCGCTCATTAGCACTCATCGCGGTCCATGATATTTACGGGGCCGAAAAGCATATAAATACAAACGTATCCTATCGAGAGTTTTTCGAGTGTTTGTTTACCTTTTTATTTTGTTTACGCAGCCTTTTTTTTTTATTGATACCCTTTTCACTCAAGATAATGACGATGGAACACCAGTCAGGACACATAGGAGACAGATTTATATTACACTGGTATGTTTACCTTTCCCGGCTCACCAATGAGGACTCGTACTAACCCTACCCTCCTTAGGCTTGACGATTCTCGAGCACATCGGATACTCTGGTTATTGGAGATTCTACAACTTGACTATGAAGTGAAAATTTACTTGAGACATCCAGACACATGGCGTGGCCCGGTTCAACTATATGACGCTCATCCAACAGGCAAAGCCCCAGTTTTGGAGGTTGTATTTGCTGACGGAAGACCAAGTATGAAACTTGCTGAAAGTGGATTCATAATGCAATACTTGTTACGATTTTATGACCCAAATTACATCTTGAACCCTACTGACCTTGGAGAACAATTGGAGGTTGATTACTGGCTACATTTTAGTGAAGGATCATTACAACATCTCAATATGACGTTATTGATCAACTCGGTTGCAAGGCATGTTGCTCCGTTTGGTTTGAAAGGAGTTGCCAAGCTAGTGACAAAGGGACTAAACAACGGATTCTACATCCATGAATGGAGATTGAACATGCAATACTTGGATGACAGGTTGGCCCAAAATGGAACTGGGTTCTTTGTGGGTAACAAGTTGACAGCAGCCGATGTCATGTTGAGCTTTCCTATATTTGAAAATGTGTTTGATAACTTGGATGGAGTTAAAGAGATAACACATGATAAGCGTGATTTACGCAAAGTCTGGCCCAACTTGGCCAAGTGGAGCAGGATGATTAAAAACATTCCAAGCTATAAAAAAGTGTCGCAGTTGATGGATGAGGAAGTTGAGGACTTGATTGCATTGAATCCCAAATTCGACTATGCAAAGGGTATGTAGTATCTTGCGAGAGTGTTTTGCCGATACCGGAGATTGCGAAACACATTATAGTTTCTGTATACCCCGCCACCAAGTTGTTAACAACTTGGTGCAATAAATGAACGATTTGGTTAACAAAAGTACTAATTGCGTGTAAATTGTCCCAAAAACTGGTGCCACACTGCCACACTTTTGTTAAATCCGATTTTGAGGCGTCCTTGCCAAAATTTTGCGCTATAATGCCAACTTAGCACGGAAATTGGGATTACTAATCAAAGCAGATTAGACACCACATAATGGAAACTGGTGATTTTTCAATAGGATCTCAGTGGCTAACTAGTTCTGCTTGTTGGAGCCCCACAGTTTCTATCCACATAGCTTTTATTAAGGCACGCACATTTTTTGACAAGTTGCACTACCTCCACTAATAAATTTTTGCATCCACGATTGTCTCATTCTACAACTGTGGCGCAAACCATATATTAGCAATTAATTTATTCCTTGTTCGTATTAATAATCAAATCCACAAATTAAAAGGAGAGGGAGAGATTTTAAATAACATTAAGACTACTTATAGTACAGTCGTCTCTCTCTTTAAGTATAAAAGAGCCTCCAGTTTCTCATATTTCTGCTACAAACTCTACTTTGTTTATTACTATCGAACAAGTGATACAAGATGGCACCAACCTCAATTGTTAACAACCCTCAAGGGGACCAAGCACCATTAAAGTCCAAGAACGCCTCGATTAGCAATGAAGACTTTGAGGAAACAGTTGTCAAATTGGCCAACTTGAAGCCTATCGGATGGGCCAAGGCTTCCAAACAAATTGTTACTGGAGGAGACAAGGAATGGGCAGAACGTTTGCCTAAAACCACCAAGGAAAGATTTGAAAAGTACGGTATTGATCTTTCAGAAGGGTACCCATACATTCCTGAAAGTGACAAGATTCCCAAATTTGTTGATGATGCATTTGCTATTAGAAACGAAGACTATCCGTTCATTGAACGTGGTAAGAATGCTGACCCTGAAAAGAAGGCATTATTTGGTGCCGCTAAGGACGTTATTCATTTGACTCCTTATATTGGAACTGAAATTGTCGGTTTGCAATTGAGCGAGTTGACCGACCAACAAAAGGATGAGTTGGCCTTGTTGATTGCTGAAAGAGTTGTTGTCTTTTTCAAAGATCAAGACTTGTCACCTCAAAAGCAATTGGAATTGGGCCACTACTGGGGTCAAGTTGAGGTCCACCCACAAGCAGCTAGAGCTGGTCGTAACCTCAACGGAGTCACCACCATTTGGCAACAGTACCAAAAGGAAAGGGCTGGTATCCCATTGAGTTTCAAAAACTCCAAATTGGGTAACTCTCAATGGCACAGTGACTTGGTTCATGAACACCAAACTGCTGGTATTACTCACTTGCACCTTGATGCTATTCCACCATTTGGTGGTGAAACCATTTGGAGTTCAACTTATGGCGCTTACGACAAGTTGTCACCTGCTTTGAAGGAGTTTTTGGATGGCAAGACTGCTATTTACAAGAGTGCTCACGTTTACTTGGACCGTGAAAACCCATTGAGGGGTCCCAAGCATGTTGAAAGGGAGCATCCTATTGTGAGAACTCACCCAGCCACTGGTTGGAAGTACTTGTTTGTCAATAGATCAATGACTGATAGAATTGTTGGATTGTTGAAACCAGAATCCGATCTCATCTTGAACTACTTGTTTTCCGTTATTGAAGAGAACAGAGATATTCAAGTTACATTCAACTGGCAAAGACAATTACCAGGTTTGAAGTCACAACCAGAAGGCGAAGAAACTTATAGAGGTACATCTGCTCTTTGGGACAATAGAGTATCCAACCACAATGTCATCCATTCCGAAGAGAGTATCAATGGACGTCATGGAACCAGAGTTACTTCTTTGGCTGACACTGGCTATTTTGACCCTGAATCAAAGAGCCAAAGAGAAGCTTTGGGATTGTCTTTGAATTAGGCTGTGTGTAGTTTTGATTAAATAAAGCTGGCTTTTTATACTTGAAAATTGTAGAATCTGCGTCTGTGTAAGTTATCCAGCTTAGCCAGTGTTGTGACTCATTAAAGCCTTCGTGCGGAGATAGCGTATCGAATGTAAATGTCTTTGGCGAACGGGTAGAAAATCTCGCTATCTTGAAATCAATGTTGGTTTTCCCTTCCCCATTTGGAAAGTTTTGCCCACGCGTTATGTGTGACCCTTTTTAGAGACAATTTCTTTTTCCAGGTGCGCATAACTTCTTGCAAATATTGGCCCCGTCAACCGGACCGGCAATGAAGAAGACTGAATGTGTGGTTTAGCTTGCTGCTTCGTGGACACCACATACCCCTTGCTAACATCTTAATGCCAGTACCATCAGTGTAGAAGCTCTATCAAACTGCACAGCACTAGCCCAAGAAGAAGGGGAAAGAAAGTGCGATATTTTTGGCATAATAATAGAATGTTACACAAATATCCACTAACTTACTTTTTTGATTAATCCGCTCACTCTTTCACACACAAACACACACACACACACACACACACGCACACACACACACACATTCTCTCTCTCTTTCTGTCTCTATATATCACCACTTTTACATCTGGGGTGCGCGGACGAAAAAGTAATATATAAATAACTGATACAGACGCCAGACACACACACACACAGATTTATACTTCACAGTCAACTTTTATCTTCCATCATATCAATTGTTGTACTACACTCACACATTTTGAAAAAAAAAAAAAGTATACTTTTGTAATAATGGCTCCAGTGGATATTACAGTCTATTGGCCAAAGAGTTTGGGCGAGATCCCAGTAACACTTTCCACCATCTACCACCAACTCAAGCTACAAATATTAGTTCAATACTACTCAAGCAATGATAATGTTTGGGGTAGCATTTATTTGGCTAGGGACTTATTGTTCGTCCTTTTCGTTTACCATGCCGTTGTGAATGTGTTGGGAGCAGTTTGGGCTTACGGAATCACCGGAATAATTAAGAAGTTGTTCGTTTCTGTCTACTCAACCATCGTACAGAAGATTATGTCTTTGCCATTCGTGAAAAGCAAAATCGATAAGCAATTGAGCGAAACAATTAAGCAAATTGAAGACCAGGTGATCCAAAACGACGACAGTTTATTGCAGTTTAAGGAATTACCAAGCAATGGGTTATCAAGTGAAGTTGTGAGCACCGAGGTTGTAAAGCTGCAAGACTTGAAGCATACTGATTGGGTGAATGGTAGAGTCAGTGGTGCCGTGTATCACGGTGGGGATGATTTGTTGAACTTGCAGCTGGAAGCGTACCGCCAATATAGTGTAGCCAATCAATTACACCCGGATGTTTTCCCAGGTCTTCGAAAAATGGAAGCAGAAGTAGTTGCTATGGTCTTGGACATTTTCAATGCGCCAGAGGGTGCATGTGGGTGTACCGCTTCCGGAGGTACCGAATCCTTACTATTGACTGGATTGGCTGCTCGTGAATATGGAAGAAAATACAAGGGCATAACTGCTCCTGAAGTTATTGCACCAATAACCATTCACGCCGGTATTGAAAAAGCTTGTTTTTATTTCGGAATGAAACTCCACAAGGTGGACTTGGATCCCAAAACATACAAAGTTGATGTTGGCAAAGTCAAACGGTTGATTAACAAGAATACAGTGCTCATTTGTGGTTCTGCTCCAAACTATCCTCATGGTATCATTGATGATATTGAAGCGTTATCGAAATTGGCCGTGAAACACGATATTCCTTTACACGTCGATGCATGTCTTGGTTCCTTCATTGTGTCATTTTTGGAGTCTTCTAAAGTGCATGCACCAGAGAAACTACCATTGTTTGATTTCCGAGTACCAGGAGTCACCTCGATCTCTTGTGACACTCACAAGTATGGTTTCGCTCCTAAAGGGTCATCCATTATCATGTACAGATCTCCCAAGATGCGTGAATGTCAGTACTACATTTCAAGTGACTGGACTGGTGGTATGTATGGATCTCCTACATTAGCTGGTTCAAGGCCAGGTGCTTTGATGGTTGGTTGCTGGGCTACTTTGGTGCATATCGGTAAAGATGGTTACAGGAAGAATTGCTTTGAGATTGTGAATGCAACTATCAAGCTCAAGAACGCCATTGAGACCCACCCAGTTTTGTCGAAGTACTTGGAAGTCATTGGTGATCCTTTATGTTCTGTTATCGCTTTCAAGGTGAAGTCAAGTCAATCCGATAACTTGTCAATTTACGAATTGGGTGACTTGTTAGGCAAACAAGGATGGCACTTTGCTACTTTGCAACACCCAGCTGCTTTGCATTTTGCCCTTACTAGATTAACAGTGCCAGTGATTGATGAATTGATCAGAGATCTTATATCCAGTACTGAAGAGGCTGTTGAGTATGTGAAAAAGAATGGCAAACCACAAGGAGATACCGCAGCAATGTATGGTGTTGCAGGAAGTATTCACACTTCCGGGTTAGCTGACAAGTTGATCACCGCCTTCATTGATAGTATGTATAAAATGTAGATAGAGAATAGAATAAAATAGAATAGAATAGTGTCTACGCTTTAAAAAGAGTGCGCGTGTATTGTATGTGTGTGCGTGACGTGGAAGTCTGTTCCCAATAAAGTAATTTGCAAAATGACTAACCGCTGTTACAATGACTGATAAGAGAAAATAAATAATAAGTAGAAAAGAAAAACTACAACATCAAAAAGTCAGAGAAAGTAAACATCGATAACACATTAATTGGACCATATTCACACACAGAGCCAAAATATAACCTCACTATGCCTACATGTTCCACCTTTTCCTTCATTTCAAGCAGTTTCAGTGTTATTTCATGCACAAGCTGGATATTCGCCCAGCTCCCACAAATTCTAACAAACTATAAACTCAAATCGGCAGAGGGTATATCGCCACTGTTTCTTCTACTATGGTTCCTTGGTGACTTTCTAAGTTTTGCAAGCTGCTTAATGAATGACGCAGTATTGGACTTTCAGTTATACTTGAGTATCTTTTTCCTTTGCAATGATGTTACGCTTTGCTTTCAATACTACTACTACAACAGTGTCTATCCAAGAACGCAACCAATGAAGTACCAACCTGTGGATCCACTAGGCGGAGAAGAGGCCACGGATACAAAAGACGTTTCAATGCACAGCGAAGGGTTGTATATCAATCATAAACACAACAGAGAACTTCATGCACTAAGTGATGGCAGTGCTTCAAGCAGCTACGACTCTACAGAGGAATCTAGCTCTATGTTGAAAAACGTTGCGGTGGCAGCAGCCTTACACAGTAGCAGAGTAAATGCATTACTGACAAGTTCGAGCACGACTACCACTGGGACAATCTCATGGGGTCTTGTCCTAGCGTGGGGGTGTACTTTTGTATACTGCAGTTCACGATGTCCCCAATTGTACAAAAATTACAAAAGAAAGTCAGTCGAAGGAATATCACCATTACTTTTTGGATCGGCACTATTGGGTAACTTGACATACACGTTGTCAATACTAACGAGTTGTGCTTTTGTTTTTGGTGAGGATCGAGCTGAGTTTATTTATAAAGAGTTGCCTTATATCATCGGGAGCTCAGGAACAATTGTATTCGATGCTGCTTATTTCTACCAGAAGTATTTGTATCGTAATAATGGACAATGCACGTCAACCATGGTGTTAGAGCCATGGGAGGAGATTGAACATAGTGGAAGGGCAGGGGTATAGATTGATATAGATACTCGTATTTATCTTCATAGACAAGCTCAGATCAAAAATGAAAAAGAAAAAGGATAAAGAAAAAAAAAAAAAGGTTGAAAAATATCGATCCAGTAAGCGAGTCTCTAACCATCTTCTAAAGAATGCTTCCTTTCCATCACACGTCGCGGTATATTCTAGTTCACGGAAGAGGAAGAATACGACAATGGCAGACTCTCTCACTTCGAAGTCATTCTACAACTAGCTCACTTTTGAACGATCCGATTCCCCGTACTTCTTTGCATCAGCGACTAACGCACACCAGTGACAGGCCAATATCGATATTAGATATCCCACCTAACACGTCCCCACACCCGCTACTTCTGATAAACACTTTGAAACTCCAGCAATTGACAAAGAGAGAACTTCGACATCTTAGGGCAATTGAGTACGAATCCATGGAAGAGAAAGCAGAGGCTTGCTTCGCTATATCCACATCCATAAAAGAGCTTATACCGGGAAACCCAAAGCAGGCGAGCCATATTTTCAACATATTGACCGATGAGGATATGAAAGGAGTGGTTTACCAGAATGTTCTTGAGTCATTTCCTGAAAATGAGCTAGCGAAAGTGTATATGCGATTTGTTGCCGAGCCCACAGCTCATGAAACACACGCAAGCTTTATTAAGCTACTCCTTGGAATTTTAAAGTCTGACTCAGCATCAAGGAACAAATCAAAGGCGTTATTCGACTTCCTTGATGGCATTGCCCAAACTGGAGTCGTCAATTCGCGACCCATTCGACTTGATACCCAAATTTTTCGAGCCATGCTTGATGCAATCGAGGAGAGCAGCCATGCAGACCTTTATTCATACTTGTTGCATTTGAACATGAGACCGAAACTGAGAAAATTGTTTCAGGATTTCAGAGGGAGACTTTTAACAATATCTCCAAGGGCCCAATTCATCGCCAATACTGGATATATTAACCCCAGATGGTACGACTTGAATGTACCAAAATTCAACCCAACACACTCGTCACGAATGATTGAGTTTTACTCGTTTACAGAGTTGAACCATATCCATAATCATTACATGTATCATAACGATCCTGCGCGTGCTTCTTTATTCTTGAGCTACATGGTTACAAAACTTGAAAAAGACGGCAAGGGTGAACTATCCGACAAACCCGAAACTTTCATAAAAGGTAGAGTGCTGATTATTCTCAAATGTGTGCTCAACTTGATCATACGATTCAAGAGTATCTCTAGCGCAACGCAAGTTTTGAAATTCATGAAGAATGAAAATTTTCAAGTCGAGATTGAGAGTCTTGTTCTTTTACTTAGAATGTTGAGGCAAGCAAGGGAATATGATCAATTTGTGACGGTACTCGCAGGGATCCCACTTGACGAACTCAAACGGAATCAAAAAAATTCCCTTGTTGATGAGATATTGTTGTTGATGCGTGACAAGTTTCGGACTTCTCCCAAAGTCATTATCGGGTACGTCAGTGCCTTATTTGGAGCACCTCAGCGCCACCACTCGGGATTGTACATCTTGAATGAACTTGGAATACTCAGCTATCCTTATGAGTCGACAATTGCATCAAAGATTACTTCCACAAAAGTAGTTCAGCCTGCTGCAGTTGACGAAAGATTGCAAAACACAAACTTGACCAGCAAAGGCTTGTCATATGTGTATCAAGTGCTTTTCAATTCAATGGACAAGAGTCAAAGAAATGATCCTTCGGTCATCGGTAAGTACTTTGAGTTGTATGTTGATTTTATGTCCAAGAGTTCTTTGAGCCTACCAGATGACAAACCTCTAGGCGTTTTTCTTCAATTTGCACTCCATGTGGACGAGGGTGCTGAACTTAATTCGATTGTTCCATCAAGCAATTACTACCTAGCAAGGAAAATCTTTGACTATTACAAGACAGTCAACTTGAATGGAGGCAGAATCACATCGTCTACATTGGAAAAGCTTTCGAGAGTTGCGGTGACCAAGTTCAACGACTTCTCTTTTGCAACTGAAGTGTTACAGTTTGCCAGAAGTAAAGGCAAGATCCTCACGTTTCATCAAATTTTTCCATTCATAAAAAAGTCGGACGAAGAGGGCGATACGAAGCGATTAAAGTTTTGGATGAATGAATTGACTAGAATGGGGATCAAAGTAACCTCGAGGCAGTTGAATGAGTTTGTTGCTCTCTGTAGAGAACCTGAACCTGCCAAAGATGCGTACAAGTACAAATGGAGTATAACAAAACATAAGCGAGAGAATAGGAAAGCATTGGAACGGTTAGGTGCTGACTTTTTGCCCGTGCGTGAAAACAATGCCTCGCCTATTCTGTCCGACGAGAAAGTGGTGGAGGAGGTTACTGCTCATGTGGATTAAGTGGCTTTTGTAGGTGGAAATGCAGTCTTTTTATTTTTTATTCAAACTAAAGCGACATTTATTTTTCATACCAATGCGACATAAATTTTTATACCAGTGCGACATAATTGTTCATACCAACGCGACATAAATTGTTCAAACTTAACTAGAAAAGAACAATTAACTCCAAGGGTAAGAGAAGCAACAGCAAAGATAACTTTAGAAAGCTATCAAAGTTTCTGTAAGCATGCCAGTAGCTTTATACCATACTGTTTAGAAAAGAGGTCTTTCTAAACTATGGGCCCTTGGAAATGGGAAAGAGACAGCTTTCGGCTTGGGAAAATAACTGCTAAAGCTCTCAAGAGAGGAGAGTAGAAAAGGACTAAGCTCAAACAAAAAAAAAAAAAATGACTTGATATTATGTCATACTTTTAATCTAAATGCCCCAATTCCGCAGCATAAGGCTCAATTAGGTCAGAGGTGTGGAAATTGTTTTGGGTAATAACGTGGCTTGAAAGTTTATGTCGTCTTAGTATGAAAAATAAATGTCTGTTTGGTATGAATCATTATGTCGCACTAGTATGAAACATAAATAAAAAGACTGTATTCTAGCTGTACTGCCCTACATTCTGGTCTCCTTGTCTGGTTTGTCCAAATCCAAAGTTTCTTCGACATCAGAGCTGGCACCGTATTCAGCAGGCACCATCTTCAAGTTTCTGTGAAACTTTTCTGGACCCNTCAAAAGACCTATTCATTATCAACCCCAATCAGTCTTGACCCCTTGACTAGAAACTTTACTATTTCATTCTATTGGCAATCCTTGATTTCATGTCCTCATCTATTCTACAATTCAGTTAAGCAATCACAGCCACAATCACAACCACAATGACAGCATTCTGATCCAGTAACTGGCGGCTAAATAATGACTAAAACTGAAGGAAAAGATAGCAATATGGGGGGTACCATACACACGCCACTGCCGNACTAGAAACTTCACTATTTCATTCTATTGGCAATCCTTGATTTCATGTCCTCATCTATTCTACAGATCAGTTGAGCAATCACAATCACAATCACAATCACAATCACAACCACAATCACAGCATACTGATCCAGTAACTGGCGGCTAAATGATGACTAAAACTGAAGGAAAAGATTGCAATATGGGGGGTATCACACACACGCCACTGCCGTTACGATCCAAGATCAATGTCGACGAGTGGTCCCCTAGGTTCCAAATTGTGTTTCCATCAAGAATCAAGTTAGTATTGAGG